GGTTAGCCACAAAAACTAAGTTATTTATGTGAATTACACATGTTCCATCTATAAATAACAAATTAATAAGTAATCTAGCTATAGGGACCTATTCACTATTCACAACTTTTTAAGGTCACCAGTTAGAAGTGGCATCACAAACCATTCATAGATGATCCGCCAAGTGTTACAACACTTGTTAGATGGTTAGTAAATATTCCTCTATCGAAAGACTGAAGTGACCTATGTTTAGGATATGCAAGGTTGACTAGTTCAAACAAGAATATTTACTAGATAATAGGACTAGGAATATGTATATTGCAACAAATGAATTAAAGGATTCCTATTCAAATGCCAAGATTCAAGTATCAGTAGCATTGAAGTAACTCCTGAATTTCATCGTTTGCTTTTGTTGTTGTTTTTTTTTAAATTTATTTTGCAGGTGAAAATTCAGGTTTGCAAGCCATAGGATTATTTTTCTTTCTTTTATTTTATTTTGCTCGCCGCATCTAGGTGAAAATTCCTATGGCTTGAAGGATTCATCCTTCGCATGTCTAAGTTGTTTACTATTCCATCCACCCACTGAGTTGCTTGACTATCCATCCATTCAAGGATAAATATGAATAAATATGTTATAATATATATATATATGATGATGATTGCTAAGTAGCTATAAAATATCATGAACAATGCTCCCAATTGAACAGCTATGTTTGACAATAACTAACCATTAACTATGATTAACAATGTTTAACAATGTTCATAGATCGATAGTTAATCATAGTTAATCAACGATGTTAACCGATTAACATCCGATTAACTACTTTTCCCCAATTACTTCACCAAGCAACGTCCTCCTCTGTGCCTCGGCGGGAGAGTCGTTTTCTGCGAAGGTCGGGGTTTAGCTATGTTTATTTGGTAGGCAAATGCGGCGAATGGGAATATCATGGGCTATTTCATGGGAATTAATGAATTAATAGAAATGAATATGGATTTAAATTGTGGATTCTATTGGGATTTCATGAGCTTGAATGGTCATATGAGGGACTAATTCCTATGGGAATATTTATGATACAAGCTTCCATGAGCCGCTGCGGCCATGGGGGTCAGGTGTGAAAACCTTACCAAACTTCTGGATAAATGTTATCCAGTTATCCTATGTTTCCCTTCATTTGTCGTGCGACGAAAGTTTAGTCTTTGTTTTTATATGTCGACAACTATTTAAGTGTTGATTAGGGTTGATGTGTTTCTTTTTGGCCGGCACCTCCCAAATATGGTTCCCTGCCAATAGGTCTCCACTTGTGAATAATCAGGACCCACAGAACCAATTGTATGCCCAATCCAAGATATGGTTTCAACCATGGCTTCGACCAATTCGGCTATTGTTTTGGGATATTTGACGGGATGGTTTCTGAGATCACCGAAATCCGTGTTTTTAATGGGACATCATCTACAATGTGAAGCCCCCCAGTTATAAGTTGGTTTATAAGCCCCAGTAACTATAGTTATAAATGCCATAAACCATAGTTATTGTAGTTATACACCAACTTAGATATCTTGAGGGCCTCACATTGTACAAATGTAGTTTGAATCAACCATGGAGAAAAAAATCCTGGGATGAACTCGGATCAGCCAAGTCGCAGGCAGTCACCAGTCATTGTTACTGTCTGACGAAGCTGTAGCCTCTGGTAATGTTGAGTCCTGATTAGTACCTAGGGTCGCTATTGTGGCAAATTTTTTCCAAATTATTCTGAAACTCATGTATTGTTTGGAGGGTTCGCTTTTGTGGCAAAACAAAATTGGGAGAGCCCTTTTTTTTGCAAAAAAAACTGTAATTGCTGCGAGGCATTTTTTCTCAAAAACGCTGTAGCTCAGTCAATTTTTTGCTCATCTCCCTATCTGAGCCTGTAAATGCATCTCTATCTGGGTAGGTTTGTTTGCTGGGTTCACTATTGCAGCAAGCTGTGCCAGAGCAGCCCCTGAAAGCCCAGAAGGGAAGCAAGCCTTTTCCAAAGGCAATTGCCAAATTCAAACTCCAAGCCTTTCCCAAAAGAACCAATCCCTTATTAAACCCTTATTAAAGAACAGCTTTCCCACAATTTTCCAAGGCCCTGGACCAGTAGAGGCCCCATTTCACTTTAGTAGGTTTGTTTGCTGGGTTCACTATTGGAGCAAGCTGTGCCAGAGCAGCCCCTGAAGAAGGGAAGCAAGCCATTTCCAAAATTGCCAAATTCAAACTGCAAGCCTTTCCCAAAAGAACCAATCCCTTATTAAACCCTTATTAAAGAACAGCTTTCCCACAATTTTCCAAGGCCCTGGACCAGTAGAGGCCTCATTTCACTTTAGTAGGTTTGTTTGCTGGTTTCACTATTGCAGCAAGCTGTGCCAGAGCAGCCCCTGAAGAAGGGAAGCAAGCCATTTCCAAAATTGCCAAATTCAAACTGCAAGCCTTTCCCAAAAGAACCAATCCCTTATTAAACCCTTATTAAAGAACAGCTTTTCCACAATTTTCCAAGGCCCTGGACCAGGAGAGGCTCCATTTCACTTTAGGAGGTTTGTTTGCTGGGTTCACTATTGCAGCAAGCTGTGCCAGAGCAGCCCCTGGAAGCCAGGTAAGCAACCATTTTCCAAATTGCCCAAATTCACAAACTGCAAGCCTTTCCCCAAAAACAAAAGAACCAATCCCTTATTAAACCCTTATTAAAGAACAGCTTTTCCACAATTTTCCAAGGCCCTGGACCAGTAGAGGCCCCATTTCACTTTAGTAGGTTTGTTTGCTGGGTTCACTATTGCAGCAAGCTGTGCCAGAGGCAAAGCCCCTGGAAGCCCAAGAAGAGAAGCAAGCCTTTTTCCAAAGGCAATTGCCAAATTCAAACCCCAAGCCTTTCCCAAAGGAGCCAATCCCTTATTAAACCCTTATTAAAGAACAGCTTTCCCACAATTTTCCAAGGCCCTGGACCAGTAGAGGCCCCATTTCACTTTAGTAGGTTTGTTTGTTGGGTTCACTATTGCAGCAAGCTGTGCCAGAGCAGCTCCTGGAAGCCTAGAAGAGAAGCAAGCCTTTTCCAAAGGCAATTGCCAAATTCAAACTCCAAGCCTTTCCCAAAAGAACCAATCCCTTATTAAACCCTTATTAAAGAACAGCTTTCCCACAATTTTCCAAGGCCCTGGACCAGTAGAGGCCCCATTTCACTTTAGTAGGTTTGTTTGCTGGGTTCACTATTGCAGCAAGCTGTGCCAGAGCAGCCCCTGCAGAAGGGAAGCAAGCCATTTCCAAAATTGCCAAATTCAAACTGCAAGCCTTTCCCAAAAGAACCAATCCCTTATTAAACCCTTATTAAAGAACAGTTTTTCCACAATTTTCCAAGGCCCTGGACCAGTAGAGGCCCCATTTCACTTTAGTAGGTTTGTTTGCTGGGTTCACTATTGCAGCAAGCTGTGCCAGAGCAGCCCCTGGAAGCCCAGAAGGGAAGCAAGCCATTTCCAAAATTGCCAAATTCAAACTCCAAGCCTTTCCCAAGAGAACCAATCCCTTATTAAACCCTTATTAAAGACAGCTTTCCCACAATTTTCCAAGGCCCTGACCAGTAAGAGGCCCATTCACTTAAGTAGGTTCTGTTTGTGGGTCACTATTGCAGCAAGCGTGCCAGAGCAGCCCCTGAAAGGGAAGCAAGCCTTTCCAAATTGCCAAATTCAAACTCCAAGCCTTTCCCAAAAGAACCAATCCCTTATTAAACCCTTATTAAAGAACACAACAATTTTCCAAGGCCCTGGACCAGTAGAGGCCCCATTTCACTTTAGTAGGTTTGTTTGCTGGGTTCACTATTGCAGCAAGCTGTGCCAGAGCAGCCCCTGCAGAAGGGAAGCAAGCCATTTCCAAAATTGCCAAATTCAAACTGCAAGCCTTTCCCAAAAGAACCAATCCCTTATTAAACCCTTATTAAAGAACAGTTTTTCCACAATTTTCCAAGGCCCTGGACCAGTAGAGGCCCCATTTCACTTTAGTAGGTTTGTTTGCTGGGTTCACTATTGCAGCAAGCTGTGCCAGAGCAGCCCCTGGAAGCCCAGAAGGGAAGCAAGCCATTTCCAAAATTGCCAAATTCAAACTCCAAGCCTTTCCCAAGAGAACCAATCCCTTATTAAACCCTTATTAAAGAATGTGTAATTACAAGTACTAATTACAAGTACTAATTACAAGTACTACATGTACTACATGTACTACAAGTACTACAAGTACTACAAGTACTACAAGTACAAGTACTACAAGTACTACATGTACTACAAGTACTACAAGTACTACATGTACTACAAGTAGTACATGTACTACAAGTACTACAAGTACTACATGTACTACAAGTACTACATGTACTACAAGTACTACATGTACTACAAGTACTACAAGTACTACAAGTACTACAAGTACTACAAGTACTACAAGTACTACAAGTACTACATGTACTACAAGTACTACATGTACTACAAGTACTACATGTACTACAAGTACTACAAGTACTACAAGTACTACAAGTACTACAAGTACTACAAGTACTACAAGTACTACATGTACTACAAGTACTACATGTACTACAAGTACTACATGTACTACAAGTACTACAAGTACTACATGTACTACAAGTACTACATGTACTACAAATACCACAACTTCATCGGCAAAAAAAAACAATAGTAATTAGATTTCAATTGTAGCCAATTGAAATCCTTACTTAATTGAGGATATGTTTTTCTTTTGGGAAGAAAATTTTTGACTTTCTACGTTAAAGAGAGTCCAGAAATAGTTTGGGGGGGGGGCCACACACTAATCAGGACGCAACATTAAATGTTTATATAACTATTAAAAAACACCATTTTTAACAGGTAAATCAGCAACTATAACTATAACTAACTGGGCCATGGCTTCAGCAAACTGTTAGTCAGTACCGTATTGAGAACATGTACTCAGTCTTTCCATGTCGCGATGTCTTTCCGAGGCGAAGAGAGCAGATATATCCGGGTTTCCCCAACTCATGGCCACATTCTTGGTCTCCTGCAGGCTCCAAGGCGGGTGGCTCCAAAGCCCCGTTAGACGTTGGCTAGACTGATGGAAACAACGAATATCTTATAAAATGTTTATGATAAATACCAATTACAGTAAATTAAAATGAATGCCAGATAGGGTTTGGAAGATTAGTTTCCACTAAAAAAATGGTGGTTTTCAAGGTCCATGTTAACAAAAAACTAGAGGCACCGCATTGTGGAGAAAAATGATGCAAGGCGAATTCACTCCAATTTACTACATGGCCACATTTATGGAGAAAAACAAACAATACCTTCCGATAATCAAACATGGCAATGGAAACTCCTATATGATACATATGATGTTCGCATCAAAACCTCCGTTTAGTAATTTATAAGGGATTTCCCATTGCTACGTTGGATTACCGCAGGGTATATAAACCATGTGGATTTTTGGGCACCCTGTTTCGGGGCCATTTCAAGGGATGTGCAGCCTCCATCTCCATTCCAACACTGTAACGCCCAATATAATGTTGTAGTTGTGGCTTGTCTTCCCCTAAAAAAGGATAACCGAAACATGGCCCAACTAGTTAAACTCGTGTTTTCTTTGAAAGGTGATATGTCTCAAAGGTGAAACATACCAAACGATGCTTGGTTGGTTAATCAACCATTCTCCTCTCCTTGCTTAAGCTGTCAAGTCATGAACACCGCATCAGGTCTCAAAAGACCGCAACTAACACCATTCTGATTATTATTTTTATATACATATAAACTATATATAATTTTAATATATATCCACCATTTCACTATGTCATTCCTTTAAACATATTCCCATACAGTTGTTGACCAAGACAGAGTTGCCCGTTTCAACCCCATCACCGGCCATCCTGTGGCGACTGCGGCGGCGGCGCCGGCTTCAATCGCACCGCCTGGGCGGGTGACAATATGGGATACCCTCTGGTAATGACTAACAGTTTGCTATGGAAAACGGCCCAGTTATAGTAAAGTTGTTATTTCAATAGTTATGTTGGTTTGAGGATATGAAATTTCTGAAATACGGTTTCCTTGATCAAGATTGATCAAGTGTTTCTGGCTCAAAATGATGGTATTTCTGGCGCCAAAAGAGCTACGGCTGAACGTTCATCAAAAAAACAACGGAGGCACCTGACGTGCTTCAGCAGCTACCTGGAATGTCATGGAGGTGTCCGGATGATACTCGGGACTCATCCCCATGGCTCCGACCAACTCCATCTGCATCTAACATTGCTATTGATTCGGAACCGCAACAAAATGCAACAAATATGGACATTATTATCTGGTTGGTGGTATACCTACCCTTCTGAAAAATATGAGTTCGTCAGTTGGGATGGTTATTCCCAATATATGGAAAACATGTTCCAAACCACCGACCAGTTATCCATGATTAACCACAAATTCATCATGTTTGATTCAAAGGAAATCTCCATCCGACCTCAATCTCCACAGACTTCTCCGTGAAGAGCAACCGCTCCACGTGCACTGCGGTGGTGGGTGGGGCCGACTGCTGTATCAGCTTGGGACCTGCAGGAAGGGAGCTGGGAGACGACTCACTATAAGGATTTATTTTAAAAAAAATGATTATTTAGGGTTTATTCGTTTCAAAACTGGGATTATTTGGGGTTTACTAACTTCAATGGATAGGTTTAAGGCATATTGACTACCAAGTCGTGTCCACTCCCAACCATAGATATATCTACAGTACCCAAAGTTATTGGAGTTTGGGGGAAGATATTTTGATGCAACAATACTGGACATGTTCAACGGTGTGTTCGAAGTAATACCTACTTACACACACACATAATTGACATATATATATATATAAATATCATTATATAAATTATATACATACATAATTGAATGGGAGTATAATGGGATGGATAGCCAAAGAAGCGTTAAACATTGTGATTAAATTGGGATACCAATGGGGATATATGTAACCAACACTGTAAAAATATGGGGTAGTCATGGTCATCCTATTATCCTGTATGTGAATGTGGCAATGGCCATCCCCTTTCGCAGAAAAATAAGACATGACCACGTCACGCATGCTGACAAGCAAAGAATGGCCGGAGGCACTGATGGTAGCTTTGAGTAAGGTTCAGTTCATCATTAAAAACACGTCCCTATTAATCAACACCCACACACCATTTGTTTCTGGTAATGTTACTTTGGGTTGCTCTCCCTCTAGAGCCAGTATGTTTGCTCACCCCCAAGTAAACAACACCCTACTGTAAAATCATATTTTTTTTTGCTGGTTATATAGCAGTGGTTTGGTTCTGATGTTTCTGACCTCATTGTTCTGGTGCTGACTGATGGGACCTTCATGGGTTTAAGTAGATTTGAATGCACTCCCAATGCTCAAATCCCATTGAAAAACCGATGGCTTCAAACATGCCTCACACTGAGTCCCATGAATTCTATTCAAAAAAACAATGGATTCAAAGCACTTCTCATGCTGCTAAATCTTATGGAAAAAACATGCATATTCAATGCATCTCTCATACGAAAAATTCCATGAACCCCATTAAAAAAACAATGGATTTGAAGCATTCACTGTCTTCGTATACTGGTTGGTGGCATACCTAACCCTCTGAAAAACATGAGTTTGTCAGTTGGGATGATTATTCCCAATATATGGGGAAAAATAAAAAAAGGTTCCAAACCACCAGCCAGTATATATTCTTATTGTATCCCATTGGGCCAGCTGGGCCCAGCTCTTGATTCTCATGCTTTTGGTTGTTTCATGCACTCCCATAGCCCTGATGGATTGGAGCCATTTGTGTATCGAGGTAGCCGACACACACGTGTTGACTACTTCGGCCTCCATGTGTTGTTGGCAGTCTATTGGTAATGTTGGATGGGCAATAGTAAAGCGCTTGCAATTGCTGCAAATAATTTTCAGAATCTGATTTTCAGCCCCTATTGATTTTAAATTAGGCCTTATTGATTTTAAATTGCAGATATCAATCTTGGTCCAAAGCATCCGCAATAGTTGTGCTGCATTCGCAATAGTTGCAAATAATTTTCAGAAAATTCCCAAATTATCAGATTTTCCAATGGTAAATTGTAAAAGGGCTAATTGAGATTTAGTATGGATGCAGGAAAAAAGCCCAGAACTAGTAATTAATGACTTGCCATGAGCAGACGCACTGCTTCAGAATGTCCAGCTTTACACCATGGGCTCTCAGAAACTCACCATGCCACTTCAGCTCTTGCAGAATGCCACTCAGCAGAGTGATCACCACACACAGCAGTGCCAGCTGCAGAAACTCTCCCAGAGTCACCAAGCCATAGCCCACCAGCACATGTCCACAAAATGCCACAAGCAGCCAGATGTAGACAGAGATCTGGCAGCCCAGAGTGACCAGATCCAGGATGCAACCGAGGGCTGTGTCCCACAGATCAGGCAGCAATGGCATGGCCAGACTACCACAGAGCAGAGCAGCCTACTTAGACGTGTAACAGCTACAGAAGCATCAGACCATTCATCAGAATCCATCCCAGGTACAGAAAATCCAATGAGAATCCCATCAAAGCCTATCAAAAAACAGAGGTTCTCAATCCGAATCCAATGAAGATCCCATCAGAGCCCATCAGAAAAGAGAGGATCTGTCAAAACCTTACAGAAGCCTTGGGGAAGAGTTGGGATTTTCGATTTACTATTGCAAAGCAGACCCCCCCCCAAAAAAAAAATAGGGGGGAGGGCCTCCCCTTTACTAGTGTCGATGTAACATTATCCAGAATTTGCCATGATAACCCCATGGAGGAATGATTTGCTGAGTTGATATATATATATATACATATACTGGGCGGACGTCTTTTCTTGCCCCAGGCACCCAGAAGTTACCCCATCCCCATGGCATACAGGGTTACCCCAGGCAAACCGGAAGTTACCCCAGGGACCAAATCCTATTGGCACACTGGTACCACGCCATCGTTGGTTTGGCAAACAAAGTAGCTAAAATGTGTCCGTGCCATTGCGAAACACATATCTAATACCATCTCCTTCGGTGATAAAACATAAAACCATGTTGAAAGTTGACAACCGCCATTGGCACACACGCATTGGCAGAAAAAAAGCTGCTTTCCATCCAAATCAGAAAAGAAACCAATTCTGCAGCACACACCCCGTTTTCTTGTCATGACTCTGGACATGGAATCGTTTGATTTCGGTACTTTAATTATCTGTTTCCCAATGGCACACCCAGTGCCAAATAAGTCGTGCAAAGCATCTCTGACCCGAGCCCCGGCGTGATCCTACGCCATTTACTAGAACTTGCGCCAGCCGCATGGCACCTTGCTTACGCCAGACATCAATAATCTTCCGCCAGGTGGAAATCCTATTGGCACACCGACGGTCAAAATGGACTAATTCTGAAGAAGGCAACTCAAATATATTTATTTACTATGCGTTTAATGTACGCTTGATAGCCAAAAGTTGGCAGCCATATGCCTGCAAGCTTGAACAGTCAGAACTATCAGCTATCATCCTCCGCATGGCACACCAAGTTTCATGGCATTTCCAACCTACAAACCGTCACATTCCTGTGGTTTCTATGATAAATTCTGCTTCATGCCAATCAATCCTTTCATCCACTTCCCCATGGCACACCGCTGATCGGGTCGATTTTTTCAGGTAATCTTCTTATGCTTTTGGTTTCTTCCGCACAGCTTCCAGCCCTTCACAAATCTCTTGGTTCTCCGCCCAAAAACCGTGCCTTGCCCAGAAGCAGCAGCACAAGCAACAACAGCAGCAGCAGCAGACCAAGCAGCAGACCATGGCAAAGCCTTCCCAAAACCTCTCCAGGCTGGGTTTTGACTGTCTGCAATTTTAACGAGGTCCGAACGAGGTGCAAACGAGGTCCGAACGAGGTCCGAAATCACATTTTGGGTGACAAATTTGAGCGGGCATAGACTGTTTGAGACGTATTGTAGGAACCGTGATAGCCAGGTAAGCATCGTGTGCCTATACAAAGTGCCAAAAAATACATCAGTAAGTTAAAGTCATAGGCGCTGCCCATGTGGGCCCCTCCCTATTCCCCATAGGCACACCACGATTTGGCACAAGATCTTGTCATCGGCACTTGTTACAACATCGACCCAGCTCCCAAACTTGAACCCACTAGCACCAAATGGCAGGCACACCGATGTTGGCACAAGATCTGCTGTGCTGCACAAAATCATTGAAGTACCCAGGGCCACATATTCTCTGTGACCGAGCATGCCACTGCGTTTGGATGTCACAAGTATCAAACCAAGCAATAAATAAACATGTTTATGACAACCAGTGTACCCCTGCGTCGTGTGCCCTGCAATGGACAAACAAACAATAAGAAGGTTTATGACTACAAATGGTAGGTTCATGTTGGTGAAATTCAGCGTGCCTATGCGTTTTGTTGTCTTACAATAAGCCATGATCCAATGGAAAAATAATATCATATATATCTTTTATACAAACTTCCCCACGGCACACCGACCTGAGACAACTTCAGGGGAGCCGAGACAAGAAACAACATGAACCCAGTATATATATATACATATATAATCAAAAAAAACATGTATGAGAAATTTTAACGAGCGGAACACACATTTCTGGTTTCATTAGTGCTTTTCAGAGGACAATCATTTCCAGGAAGGATTAAGCGGGTGGCTGATCCCCTTCCGAAGTGGCCCCTTTCGATGGCCCAGTGGCATCAACCCTACGAGGATGTAGGGTAAATTTGGTTGGTCCATTTATCTCATATTTGGAGTGAACTAAGCCACTTACGGTTGATGGAATCAATAACCAAGTTGTTGTTTAATTTTCCTAAATAACGCATGTTCGTTTCGGGAAACTGCAAACTGGAAACTTGTTTTTGTAATTTCCTAGACCCAAGTACCCAAAATAATTGTGTTTCACCGCATAATTTAAGCACGTTAACCATTTTTTGGGTAGTATTTAGAGGATCTATATTCAGGCAATTGGAGGTATCTGCACCACTTTGAACCTAGTTTGCTTCGTTGAATACCCACTTACCTTTTCATAGCTCAATGCCAAATCACCAACCATAACTCCCAAGTGACTCCTGGTTGATCTAACATGATTGCCAAGAAATCTTGGAGTTATGACCACCAACTTACCACATCTACCGGATGTGCATCCCAGCTACATCCGAATCTAACTGGCTGTAATAGAGGCTACCCAACAAGAAACATTGGCTAATCACCGGGCGGTTTTCCCCATGATTTCATCGCGGGACACTAGCATATATTCAGACACGTAGATTAATGGGATATACCCCAGCAGTACTTGGATGTGCTCAATGAACACCAAAAACTAAAGAGTCTTCCCTATAGATATCCCATTTCTAGTGGATTTCCGATTGGAAATTGTAGAAACATCATCAGCTCAGCAAATCCTGTTGTTTTTTTCAGCCCATATTCCAACTGGTTGTCATTTTTATAAAATGTCGGTATAGAAGAACAATATACCACCCATTTGGGAATGGTAACCATACCACCTATAACAATTGTGATGACTGGGGGATGGTTTATGGCATTGTTTTACCCACATTACCCACTATTTTCCCATAAATCAGGAGATTTCCTGTTGAAATTCACCACGAGCCTGGCAGCACGAGATCGTCCAAGTTATTCGTCACCTTGGGTCCCGCCTGGGCGTTTTGGGACGCTGCTGCGTTGAAACATGGTGGTTAGTCTCTGACTGAATGGGATAGCTATGGCCTATGGTATACTAAGAGGACAATGTCATCCCTCCGCGTCCCTTTTGTGCATTCCCCCAGTGACCCCACGCAGCATTTAGGAAGTCATCTTGATGTTCCGGCCAATGTGAAGGCCACAAATTCCTGGTTACGTTTTGATATGTTTTGATGGTCCAATCCGTTCGCAGTTCGCGGAAATGGGAGATGCAGTTCCCAATATTAAACGCTGGAAAGATCAATATTTTTTGATGGCATATTCTAAGTTCTTCAAAACATACTGCATAACTTTATGGCTCACGTCAATTTGATTCAATTTGCCCATTCGCAAACATCTAATTCCTTGTTCAGTTCTTGTAGATTTCCTGAAGCTGGGACCATTTTCGGCACGCAACTGGGAAACAAAAAATGGCAACATGTTATCATTTGTTAATGGATGTTAATGGGAACATATGGGAAGAAATGATTAACACTTTATTAACTAACTATATGTTGGATTAATTATACTATAACTATAACATATACAGTATATATATATAGATGGGATTGTATGGGAATGAATGACTATAATATATCTCCGCAATCGCAAGAAACGCTCTTCGCAAGCCATTGCCGTTGTTTCATGGCATCACTTCTCTCGAGCCTCGAGTGCCTCTTTCTTCGTGGCCATGCCGGGGGAGTTTCACGGGGGTTCAACATGGTTCAACTACCCCCCCGTACGGTGACACCATGTGACACCCCCAAAAATAACACCATTTTAGGGGCTAAGCAATTGTTTACCATCTAGTATTGGGACAGGGTTACCCCATGAAATCATGAGAAATCATCCTCTCTGGTGACGCAAAAAGGACCCCGTCATCGAGGGTGAAATCCTGGGCTTGTTTGAAACTGCGGTGAGCTCCCCACCCTCCCCGCCCACATGCAAATTTAATAGGAACATTATCGTTATATATTGCAAAATATCGGCCCCAAAAAAATATACCCTTCACAAAGGTTTGCTTAACGTTGGACTTGCGATGCAGAAACGAAAGAGTAGATGAGAGTAGACGGATTCCCACTTTCTCAAGATATACTAAACCATCCGGAAATATTCACACAACAGAAAACACATGTAGACACCTACATTAGTCTTCGAGTATGGAATGGGACTATTACCACTATTAACCATGAACGCGAATCATTAAGAACCATGGTTGGTGACCGTTAGTTTACCCAGTTATTCTCGGCTTCTCCATTGAAGTGGATGGGTGCTTTAAGCGCCATATCCCATTTTTGTTTGATGAACTTGGGTTTGCTTCAGGGGTCCCAACACAATTAAACATATTATATTCCCATATGTTCCCTAATTATAAAACAAGATTCCCCAAATGGTGGATGTTCCGTAGGAAACAATAGGAAACATGCCAAAGATAAAGCACGACCCGGTCAACTGGAAGCGATGCTCCCTAAGCTCCCCGCTGCTAGGTCCGCATCACTTGCGACCTGCTCGCTTTCCGGAAATGCTCCCCAAAATCGATCAAGTGAAACCCTTAGCCTCCTGTAATCAAGCGTGGCACTTGGATATCCCTTGTTGATGGAGGCAATGGGAAAATCATCTATATCGACGGACTGAAACTTAGAATGCCGCCATGTTTGTTGAAATTTTTAACGGTGCCACTTAGAATGCCTTTTTTTTGGCCTCACTTAGAATGCCTCCATCGCTAAAACATTCAAACCTGCGAGCTGGACTTTATGAGGCATTCTAAGTGCGCATGATTATCGCCATATTTGGAGACCCTTTCAATTTTTTTTTGGTCCAAGGCATTCTAAGTTTCAGTCCGTTGCTATTAGAGATATAGATTTAAACTCTTGATGGTATATCAAAATTATTATATAATCCCCTGTTCTGGTGTGAATATGCTAGTTGTTGTCCCCTAAATCGCATTTGTGAGTTTCAGGAGAAAGGAAAGGAGAAAGGAAAGGAGAAAGGAAAGGAGAAAGGAAAGGAGAAAGGAAAGGAGAAAGGAAAGGAGAAAGGAAAGGAGAAAGGAAAGGAGAAAGAAAGGAGAAAGGAAAGGAGAAAGGAAATGAGAAAGGAAAGGAGAAAAGGAAAGGAAAAAGGAAAGGAGAAAGGAAGGGAAAAAGGATGAAAAAGGAAAGGAAAAAGGAAAGGAAAAAGGAAAGGAAAAAGGAAAGGAAAAAGGAAAGGAAAAAGGAAAGCAAAAAGGAAAGGAAAAAGGAAAGGAACAAGGAACGGACAAAGGAAAGGAAAAAGGAAAGGAAAAAGGAAAGGAAAAAGGAAAGGGGAAAGGAAAGGATTGGTGTGGCATTCTAAGTGTTACAAATGCAGCCGGGAGGGACAAAAATGGGCAAGGAAATCATAATTCATGTGGAAATCAGCAAAAATCATAAAACCCATGCCCCCAAAACCCTTGGACGCATTCTATGTGTAACATTTTTGGCAGCATTCTAAGTGTAAAACCGTCCCGTTGAAAGGAAAGGAAAAAGGAAAGGAGAAAGGAAAGGAGAAAGGAAAGGAGAAAGGAAAGGAGAAAGGAAAGGAGAAAGGAAAGGAGAAAGGAAAGGAAAAAGGAAAGGAGAAAGGGAAGGAGAAAGGAAAGGAGAAAGGAAAGGAGAAAGGAAAGGAGAAAGGAAAGGAGAAAGGAAAGGAGAAAGGAAAGGAGAAAGGAAAGGGGAAAAGAAAGGAGAAAGGAAAGGAGAAAAGAAAGGAGAAAGGAAAGGAGAAAGGAAAGGGGAAAGGAAAGGGGAAAGGAAAAAGGAAAGGAAAAAGGAAAGGAAAAAGGAAAGGATACCTCCCATGAGATTGGATTTATACAATTATTCATATGAAATAGTAAATTTATACAATCCTTCAAACCATGTGTTTCATAAAAGAACAGAGATTTTGCAACAGAATGATAACATTTGTATTTGTTTTTGGCGGCATTCTGTGTGGGCTGCACAAAGTACATAAAACCCCGCGTATACCGAGTATTTTGAAAATATGGGCTTCAAATGTTTGACATGCTGCGACCGGGACTTTTGGCCGGAGGCATTCTATGTGTGGCACTCAATCTCATATTACGCTGTAAATTCTCACAAAATTTACCTACGAACGATTCATTAAAAAAAGTACCTGTAAAATTACAGGTACCCGAAAATTGCATTTTACCAGGGTTTTTGAAGATTTTGCCCCCGCGGCGGCATTCTTTAGGACAGCGCGTCCGGAAGGGGTGCGGCATTCTAAGTTTCAGTCCGTCGATATACAAATGGAGGATTTTCCATGATTTTCCATGGGATTTTCCAGCTTGCCATTTGTGAATTACCAGAGGGCAGCGGTCGCCATGCAGCCAACAACTTAAGTTTCGAAGTGATGCAGCGGCCATCTCAATGGAGAAAATCAACCTTTACAGAGTTGCTACATATTTCTTGAGGCAACCCACTGATCTATAGTATATGATATTATATGTATGCTAATGCACAGGTACATTAGCAAAAACAATATTTGTGATAAATTCTGGGTGCAAAAAAACGATGTAAGCAAAATTCAGCGGCCGTTGCTAACATCCCATTTTTTCTACCTAGTATGCAGATCCATACTAAGCAATTTATTGCTTTACAGCTAGGCTAGATGGGACTTCATGCTGGATGCATCTGTAGTTTGATGGCTTTGTTTAACAAAATATACCTGGGAGACACCACTTCTGACCGAGGCCATCCAACCAGCCATAGCGCTAGGGGCTATCCCAATTTATGGGGACCAAATGACGCCATGATTATAGCATATAGCCAATGAAATACCTCCAACTGCCCCAAGTGTATTTTAAACAGCACCGGGAAGCTGCTGTTAGTGTCAGTTCTGACTACCCAAATGCAGGAGGCCAAACTGCCCCACGTGACCCGGACCCGATTTTGACGATTGATAGATTGGTTTACAGTTTACAGGACATTTGACATACGAAACCTTCTGTCTTAGCCTCAAATGGAGGTTTCCCAAAATAAGTTTTTCCCCAAATCATCTATTTTTGTTTTGAGGATTGTTCATTATAAACCATCCTCAAACATCATAAACCATCCATTTTAGGGCCTAATAGGGTACCCCATTTTAGGCAAATAAACCATTCATTTTAGGGTACCCCAATATTAGGAAACCCCCAAACATCACTGAACTTCTCAGAGTTCCCCCGTGCCGTGCCTTGCTGAGGGGTCCATCTGGGCGATGGAGATCGACACATGATATCCGTTTTTTTCAAACGTGGCAATGGAAGATTCCTTGGTATATATATATAGTCATCCTGGAGTAGATAGAATATGATATTTTTTCGAACCATCTTCACTAAAACGGAATATGGTAACCGACAGAATTATGGAAAAAAAAAACGTTCAACTTAGACAGGCGGCGCCTGCGTCCGATTTTTCCATAATTGGATTTTTCCGCATAAGGGTTCAAAATATCCCGGAAGTGATCCGAACCTTTTTTTTCCATAATTCTTGGAGGTGGCCATTATTACCATAATTGATTTTTCCTGTGAAATCAGGGGGCTAGGGTTTCCATATTTTTTTTTCCATAATTAATGTTTGGGGCTCCACCTGTTGGACATGTCATGGATCCACAATTCAAACCCGTTACATGTACATACCCGTATACATGATATTATGTATATCAATGGCAGGCTTTAGGGGCATATACCAGATCTTTAGACACATATTTTCTATAATTCAATATTCCCCCTTAGAATGCATTCAAATTGCGAACATCACATGATATTATGTATATCAATGGAAGACTTAGGGATACCAAATCTTTAGACACATGTTTTCTATAATTCAATATTTCCCCTTAAAATGCATTCAAATTGCAAATCGATGGACATACAGTCACCGACAGAATGGAAAAAACAAATATGGAAACAATAATTATGGAGAAAAAAAAGTTTGTAACTTTTCTATCATAGACAGGCGGCGCCTGTAAATTGAAACGTGTTTTTTTTCCATAATTCTGTCGGGTGCTGTATGTTTGAAAATTCCACATTCTATCTACTTGAGGATGATTATATATATATATGTGTGTGTGTGCGTGGGATTATCCATTGATTATATATTTTAAATATTAAAATATGATTTTCCATGATTTTATATATAGATGACTTTCCATTGATTTTCCCATCGGAAGCTCTATTTCTGAGGAATTTCCCACTGTAAAATGATCATTTCCAGCTGGGCATCCCTGTCCAATAAACATGGGAAGCACCCGCTTCAAATAGAGATCAAAAAGGTGACTCATTGTGCAAATCTTAAGCATGGAAACCTCTTTCCACTGATTTCTGTGTTATAGCTCCATCGCCTAATATATTGACGCTGGGTTATAATTCCTCATAGTTGCATTGAAGTATCTAACTATATATCAGTAGTTGGCAGGTCAATGTCCTAAATTTATCATTAGCTAAAGGTAGTGTGGATCTTCATATCGATCTGTTGATCTATCAATTTTTGTGTATCCCAACTTCGGAGCAAACACGAGACACGCCACGTGTTGTGGCCACGAGCGCGGTGAAAGGCCGTTGTTGATCTATACCCATAACCTAAAGACAAATATTATCTATAAATATTTCATTAGCTATTAGCTATATATCATTAGCTATATATCATTTGCCATCAGTTCTTTTTTTATATCTACATTAAAAACATATATCATTAGCTATAAATCTAATGGGTATATCTTCATAGATCGATCTGATCGTTTTGGGTATCCCATTTTTCTGGGCAAATTATAATATTTCACTAACCTGAATTAAGGTCATTTGGGGATGATTTCCCTTACTAACCATGATTCCCAGTGAGGGAGGACAGTGAGGTCGTTATAATTTACCCAGATGTATATATTATATATATACATATAATCCCATAGAAATCACCAGTTATAACCATCATTAATCACTATTAGCCACTATAATTAAACCATTATTAACCATTATTATTCACCACATTTTTTTGGGCCTGGTGAAAGGCCGTTGTTCCTGGGGCTTCGGATCTCCTCGATGAAGCCTGAGCGAACAAGCGCTGAACGCGGCGTTTGACAAAAAAGCCGCCGAGGTGAACAAATCGACACTGCTGGTGTGGGAAAATATGCTCTAAATGGATCTAAGTCTGAGCATTATATATATATATATATATATTGAAAATTGCCATTTTTAATAGGTAAACCATCTATAAATGGGATAACCATGGGATTTAATGGGAAATTAATGGGATTTTATAGTGATTCAATGGGATATTAATATATATATATATTAATGGGATTATACCCTCTGGTTATGACTAACATAGCCATGGAAAATAGATGGCCCATAGAAATAGATGGTTTACCGTTCTTAATAACATGGTGGATGTTCCATGGCAAACTGTTAAATAACCGGATGGCATATATATATATGTATAACATATGTGTTGTGTGTGTGCCGTCCTGTCAATTGATTTGATCAAAACAGCGCCGGACGGAAACTTAGAATGCCAATTGGAAATTTGAAACGACAGAGTCGACACCGGCTAATTACATATAGTGACTGCCTCAGGTGCTGTACAGTTCAACTTCACCATTCACCATTCACAATCAAAACTTGCTTTCCGCTGTCAAAGGATTGACAAGATCTCGCATCGTCTCTGAGGGGTATCCACCTGCATCGTCTTCCTCCTCCCCTTCTTCGTGCAACCTGCCATTTTGGCACCACACAGCGGTGCGACATTTTGGACTTTGCTGGACTTGGGAGGGGATTTGAACCAAGCCATGGCCGGCCCTTGGGGACCAGTTGGCATTTTCCCATGATCTCAGCTGAAAACTTATGACATTAGCGAGCGAACCATTTATCATGGTGATATAAACATGTTTCAACCGCAAAAAAACAAAATCCGGTGAAATCCGGATTCAACCACCATGAACTTCCATCAAATCATTCAAATCCCATATGACTTGTTAGCTAATCCCAATGGTTATTTAACATCTAGCCATGGAAAAGAACCATGCTTTAATAGGTAAAAGTAGCTAAATCATCCATAGATCGAGGGCAATACCAGTGGAATCTTCGACCGATCCAATCGCGGGCACCCTCTGAAGCGCATGGTCACCAGGGTCGTGCAGGTGGTGATGCTCACACACAATGCTGCGACCTTTGGTGATCAATTGGGGTGTCAGTCTCATGAAAAAAAAAGGGCTATTTATGGTCATTGATAACACCATTATATTATGCATAAGTCCCCATAAATAACCATGATTCATCATAATCACTTGGATTTGCGGAAGGTGATTTTATGTTTTCATACATTTTCCCAGTGGGAAATATTCACTACTTGGGGAACGGAAAGGAAACGCAGTGTGTTTGTTCAATGATTTTGGGGGTACCTTAAGCAAATCCAACATGGAGATACTGGAAATTCATGCATAAAATGGGGTTTGTAAACCAACAAAGAACTGTTATTTTGGGGAAATTACGACCCAGTACAGGGTGGATGAAGCATATTTCTGGACCAGCTATAGTATTTCACATTATTTCACCAACCTAAAATAAGTTTGACCAGGGATCGTTACCCCAATCCTAACCATCTACAGTGCTGCAACCTTCAACCTCCGCTAAGCGCGAAACTATGCTAGTCCTTGGGGATCATGATCCCAGATATTCTTGACCATCAACACATATTGGAAATCCCCACCGGGCATAAAGTGGGATGTTTTAGAACTCCAAAAACGCAGAGGCTGCAAAAGGCCGACCCCCCAAAGTTATAACTTGATTTATCCACAAGTTGTAGTTCGTGGAATTATCATTTAAATATAATTAACCTAGATTTCTCGGGGGGGCACCTTGTAATTAGCATATATATATATATAATAGATATATTTGGAATATACCCCATGAAAAAAAAACAATCAACCAGGGTTTTCCCAGCTCCCAGCGATCAGACTCTGAGCCGCCCCGGCTCCTAGGATCACTAAGAGCAATTCTTCGATGTTGCTGTTCTTCCCCGTGATGGAATACCAGCTCACCAGCCCCTAAGCTTTCAGGCCATGGAACCACGAAACAAACTTCGAAACCATGGGAGGGTTTTTTTGGCACGGAAAAAAACAGCATTTTTTTGATGGTAAAGACCATATAAAAATATTAAAACATATTAAAACATATTAAAACACTGCTCCACATCTCAATCGTCCCATTGAATCAATTGTGAGGTGAGTGGTGCTGGATGAGGCGATCACCAAGCTCCGGTGACGCATTGGAAAAACTTGTTGAGCAATGCTCGGCAGGTATTTTCCGCGGAAAAAACATGAAGAAAACATGGTTTTCCATCGGTAATCATCGGTGATGCCATAGCCCATTGGGATCCAACCCTTTGGATTCTCATCATCGATATGGACTTGGCCCATGACTGTCCACCTGAGAGCGGGATTTACCATCTGGTTATGACTAACAGTTGGCCATGGAAAATCCACCATGCTATTAAGAACGGTCAACCATCTATTTCTATGGGCCATCTATTTTCCATGGCTATGTTAGTCATAACCAGAGGGTATATCCCATTGATATACCATTTATAGATGGTTTACCTATTAAAAATGACCATTTTAAACCTCTAGTGACTCCAAAAACACTTCAGGGCCCATGGTCGGCCGTGGCCTCTGATGGCCTCCAGGTTGAATGCCAGCAATGTCTGAGGAAAAATTCATGCGTTTAAACATTTAAAGCGTCAGCGTCATATGGCATCCCCAATCATTAATCAATACAGGGTGGCGCGTCTGCAGTTATAAGCCTGTATAGGTGGATTTCCTTAGGTCTTTGTTCCACTAGCTTCAATTACCATTAGGGGCCACCAGATTGAAACTGTATGGCTACAATTGATCCTATGTGCTGCTCCACTGGCCCAATCATCCGGATAGAGGACCCTAGTTTCTGAGCATGGCACAATGTAGGAAAACCAGAAGACCAACAAAGAAAGGCCACCCATCACCTGGAGAAATCGCTTCCGCCACGGCGAAGTCTAAGTGGGATGCCACAGGTAAAAACAAATCCACTGAAGCAATGTTACAGTTCAGTACCTAGAATTAGGAAATGCCATGAAAAAAACAATACTACAATAGATGAATACTTCTTGAGCTTGAGTGCAATAGTTGGCTGGTTGGTGGTTTCAAACCCCTCTGAGAAATATGAGTCAATTGGGATTATGAGATTCCCAATAATCCCAATATATGGAAAACAGAAAAACAAAGTTCCAAACCACCAACCAGTTGGGATTGATACATCATGAGAGTCGTGAACAGCCAACAGTTGGGCATGCCTTTGTGTTCCCTTCGCCTTCGTTGATCCTGTTTTGGTTGGCGCATGTGAATCATTGATCATTTTTTTCAGAGACGCTCACCACAATTTCACCATCTGATGTGTATATAACTGTATACATATATATATATATATATATATATGTGTGTGTATACCTCCCTAAACAAGCAAAACTATAAAAGACCCTGCGTTTGTCTGCACAGACTAATTATTACAACAGCTTTCTCTTTCAGATATGTTTTTCGGTTTGGACATGTTTACCTGGGCAAATTCCAGAAAATATACGAAGAACATCAAATAACACAATTTGAACAATGACAAAAAATGACAGTCGTGGTGATATATCTACAATAACAAACGTAGAAACTGAACTTAAACATATTTTGGGACACACCCTTACTAATCATCATGTGTGGTTCTTAACCCGCCTAATCAATAAAACACGTTTTATTCCAATCTATGCATGACATCATCTACCAGCTTGTGCTCTCCAACTATGTTTATTGGATTTTTCCCATTAATCCATTACAACTAGTTCGATATAGCTACCATATAAAAACCACAGAGACTGAAATGGTAGCTATATATATATATATATGTATATAACCAACTAGGCTATATCAATGATAATTATATATATATATAATATACACCTTTTATATCAATGATTGATACCCTCTGGTAAACGAACATATCTATTGAACATGGCCATAGAAATAGTGGATTTTCCCATAAAAAAGCTGATTGTCCATAGTTATGTGGCTGTTTACCAGAGGGTAACCAGATTATATCCCATTAAATCCCATTAAATCCCATTAAACCACCATTTTCCTATGGTTTCCCAGAATGTATATACCCAACTAAGGATTGGGGGTAAGCCAGTCACGTCCAAGGATACGCCGCCTCGCCTTGCTAGGCATGGGCCCGCCCAGCTCGCCGCCCACGTAGCGACGCCGCACCAGCCTCGTGTCATGACAGGGGCAGTTTGGTGTTTGAACTGGGACAAATCCACAGAAAAAATGGGAGATTCAATGGATTGGTTTAAGGGAAAATCTACAGGAAAGACCCATATCTAATAGGAAAATCTATGGTTTCCTGTAAATTTCCCTTAAACCAATCCAATCAGAGATTCGACAAGTTGATGCGACCCTCTGGTTATGACTAACAGTTTGCCATGGAAAATCACCATGTTTTTTATAGGTAAACCATCTATAAATGGGCCATCTATACCATGGCTATGTTAAATAACCGGAGGCTAGTTTTTTTTATATATGGAAACACTGCGATGTTTTCGGGATTAATATGATGAGGTTGGAATTGGGGAAATCATCGCTGGGAATTCAATAAATCATTTTATGTTTGATATTATGGTGCTATTCATGGTACAATGTGAGGCCCCCAAGATATCTAAGTTGGTGTATAACTACAATAACTATGGTTTATGGCATTTATAACTATAGTTACTGGGGCTTATAAATCAACTTATAACTGGGGGGCCTCACATTGTAGGATGTTACATGATATACTGCATTACTATAGTGAGTTGGATTTATAAATCGACAAACATCACCGGGGGCAGCACCTGTTTCATGGGGGAATTACACCAACAAATTGAAGGCGATAAATATATAAATGGGGTTAGAAATGATGAGACATACGCCATAAAAGAAGAATAACAATTACACTATGGTTATTTAACATATCCATGGAAAATAAACCATGTGCAGATGATTTATGATGATTTACCATGATTTACCTATTAAAAATGATGATTTTCCACAGCTACGTCAAACAACCAAAAGGTATATGCAATTATAAACAGTCTTAGGGATAATCAGCAGAATGGCGATTGAGATAACAAGCGATGACAAAACATCCATTTTGGGCAGAAACTGTCACGTGGAGATCGCGATAACCATACTGTAATTCTGTTCACTTGGCAGCTAACCTTGGACTCTTTGGACGTGTCATGACGTGTCATTTTCGAAGGGTTCTTCATGAGATATGGGCCCATCTCCAGGTTTCTGTTTTTTTGCTCTACCGATGACACCAGCATCACTTGAAACATGTTCACCACTACTCAGCCACCGTTTCAAGTTTGATGGTTACATCTTCACAGCCCATAACGAGAAACTCCGCAGCTATATAATCCCAAAGTAGCTTGCTTGCAACCCAGCTGTTGTGGGATGGTAAACATATATAAACACGGATAAATCTGGTAGAACCCCCAAGTTTGATGCTTTAAATCCTCATTTCTGTTGGAAAATTCTGATTGCCAAGTGGCACCACAATGAGCGCGAAGGCAGCCATTACAGCCTCAGGTTCCGTCGCAAGAGCAGCATAACCCTCCGGCATTTTAACACTTTGCTATGGAAAATAATACTGGTTTATGGGCAATTCATCAAACTGAATGGGCTGATCAAAACATATCAAAACTGTTAAATTACAAAACGAACAAAAACATAATATTGACAAGCATAATCTTCCAACGTCAAGCCTAGAACAGTCAAGCTGTACTGCATCAGATCATCCTGTGCCACTTGGTCTCCACACGAAGACGATGACGCTGAAGAACAGATCTTGAGCACCACGAACTACCAAAGCACCACCCGCATTTCTGGCGCGCACAGTTTGTCCAAAAGCTTGGGACGCCTACAAGCTGGTGCCCTCAAGTTATGTTTACGTTGCTTCATGGGGCGCCTGAAAAAAACTATACCTAGTTCAACCATCTCTGAAATAAATTGTAATATTTCACATTTATTTCACTCACCGGAATTGGGCCATTTGGGGATGATTTCCCTTAGCATTAGCCATGATTCCAGTGAGGGAGGACAGTGAGGTCGTTATAGTTTACCCAGTGGGCACCACCTTGAGCATCCCACTGCTGACCTCATGGAGGGTCGAGCGGCAATGTCAGGGTACAAGGCTTTCCTCGGCGACTTCAGCGTGCCGTTGCCGGAATGGTCGCGGAATAGACATAGAAAACAGTGATGATTTCAATCCAAGGTTGGAATCCAAAGCATGAAACATAAATTGTTCTAATCTTCTAAATCACAAAACAACCAAAAACATAAGAAGCACAGAATCGGAATATTCTCATTCCATCAAAATCGAGCGATGATTCCCTAATGTTGATCATATTAGTGGGTCATGCGCAAGATGAATTCAATCTTCTATGGCTTCTATGGCTCAAGGGCAAATGCTTGGTAATTAGTCAACCTTGGATGCCCGAAAAGATCATGACAGTTTTGAATGTCGTAGTGACAGAATATTCCTGCAAAAAAAAAGGTTCGATAAGTAATTAAAGCAATTCCATCCCCCTAATACTAGACAACCCCCCAGAAACCATGGTTTAATAGGGGATCTTGTCTTTCACTAGGATATTCTTAGATTTGGAGAACGGACGCCAAAAAATAGCACATATTCCGAATTTTCCTTATTGTACTTGAGTCCCTATGTAGTGGGTTTCCCATTGGAACATTAAAAAAATGACTAGACACACACAGGTAACAAATATCACCAAGGTTCAACCAAGATCACCAGAAGTTGGCAATGGGATTTCCGCTCAAACGTACAACGTGGCAATGGGAAATCCACTCGAAATGAAAGTTTGAACGGAAAAATCAATGAATATCATCTAGAAATGAGGGATTCTCCATTCTTTTGCTTCTCAGATAGTAGGGGAACAAAATATATAAATTGATTTTGGCATGATTCCCGGACAAAAACAACCCAAGTCTTGTATATTTTGGCAGGTTACATGCTGTGGAAATTCTAAGCCAGCCCCGTTTTGTTGGATCATCCCATTCATGGAATCCTACAATTCTTCGGGTCCCCAAGGGACATGTTTCTTGGTAAAATGTGTCATCACATGTTCATCACATGTTCATCCATTATCTGTAGTTTTTTCATTGCCAAGGACACCCCGCCGTAGTTTTCCGTAGTTTAGTTATTCATTCTGTCATCATTCTATCATAAGTCCCTGGTTTTCACGTGGTGATACCACTTATCACTAGCTGAATAAGCCGAGACACCACTGCTCTGTTTGGCCACGTATTGCCCAAACCCTCAGGACGGACTGGTCGTGTCGCCCACACAATGAGGGACTCTCCAAGTAACACAAACAGTATGAATCACCAAAATGATACCAAAATGAATACAGGAACTGTTCAATCAAAGACTAACTATGCTTATGATGCTTATGTGCATACAGTGCTCACCCCAAAGTGATCCAACAGATGGGTTTTGGGTTTCCAAGCCAGCCAAAGATTGTCTAAATGAGTTGGTTTTATTCAAGAAGAACCCCCTTAAAACAACTGGAGACATAATATTCCCAGCGTGTAGAACTCACAAATGGCAGGTCCACCCATCAAAACCTAAAGAGTCCTCGCCAGCAAATCCTTGAACCATGCCCGGTACATGGTCAAGTTCTGAAGTCACTGACAGTCACAGGGGAAATCCCATCTCGGCTTCCACAGTTCCAGTGGCGGCACAAACCGAACCCGAGTCAAGCGACACAGCAGCAGCAGTCCAAGGCAAACCCAAACCCAGGAAGACGTTCACCGAATTGCTGCCTCAGGGAATCTCAAGGCGCACTCAGCGTAGTCGGACATACCCATCTGGTTATTCAAAAATTTGCGAACAGGAAAAAAACATGGAAAATCACCATATTCACCGATAAATCACCCAAAATCATCTACAAATGTGCCATGGCTTGGCTATGTAACAAATATCCAGAGGGTAGCCCAAAACAGGCAGAGGTTCGTTGGGTCCAACGTGGTCTGTCCAAACATACCTGGTTTCAGCAACGTACCGGGAAGGGGCGGAGCCTCCAAGCGATAGGTAAGTTGGATAACTGGGCCAACGATTGGATGTGTCTATAGCTATATATATATATATAGCTATGTAAACCAGCTATAGCTGGCAACCCCCAATGCTGCAAAGAAGCGTTTTGTCAGATTCTTCAATGACCAGCGTTAGACTTTCATGAGAAAAACCAACAGTGAAAACAGCAGGAGAATTCAAAGATCTCGTCAGAACCAAGACCAAGAACTTTGACTTGCTCGTTGGAAGCCCCCAACATTTATTAATGGGATAATTATGGCATAATATTAATGTTCTATTAATGGGATAATGAACTAATGAAACACATTCCGAGATTCCGAGGAGATTTCCATGTCTATCCATTTCTGCTGGATTTCACACAGGGAAAATGCACAAATCACCAAAACAGCACCAGGAAAATCCTCATTGCGCGCCTGTCACATTGATGATGGCAGCGTCCGCTGTGGGATCCTGAAACAGCAGGAAACTGATCGGACATGACCGAGTTCAAAATTCAGCACTGCTACTCTAAAAGGTATCCTGAGAGTTTGTTTTTTTGTTTGGTGGTAGTTTTTTTTTCCCACAGGAAGCAATGAAGCAAAAATCTGAGCTTCAATGCCCGGGTTCCTTTCTGTGCCTGGCATTTCACACATATTTTACACCTGGAATCCACGAATAACCTGCGCTCGATGCTAATCTAGTGCTGGGCGAGCTCAAGCCATAATGAGAAGGCAAATACTTAGAAGTGTGGTTCCTCAGTTCCAGTGCTTATATCATGATAACTATAGGGGTTATATAATGTTATATATGGTTACATCCCAACTTTTAGGGGTTTAGCTCACCATGGTTACACCCACATTTTTCCACCTCAACTGCACCGATACCTATGAAAATTGCCATTTAGATCCACTTAGTTCATTGATTTACCGTTCTTACACCTATGAAAATGGCAATTGCTATGTCATTTACCTAGTAAAATCCTAGTTTTTAGATGGTGATGTTCTCGTTCGCAAACTCTTAGTTTACCAGCCAAAAACCCTCCCCATCGAGGCGCTGGCCTCAACTGCGGCATGTCTGGAAGCGAAGAGATCCGGCATAGAGGTGCCTCACGGAGCAACCCCCGGAACCAAATGCTTTTTGTCAAAAGTGAATGGAATATCTCCACTTCGGGAGCGAATTTATGGTTATGTATATGAAAGAAAATATATCACCTATATAGAGAATACTGTATATGTAATAAACAATTATGGGCCAATATATAATGGAATATCGATATCACTAGTTCGGGATGTTATACCTTATTCCATGAACTCTTAGTTGGCTATGTACATAATATGGATTCACTGATATAAATAGAAACAATTGATATATTTCAACGATACAGTCACAGTATATCATTGGGCATGCTATCTGGGGGAAAGCGACCTTTCCAATACGATACTTGCCCCTGCATCCGCCCTGCGAGGAATATTCCCATCGTAACTGGCGAGTGGCCGTAGCTTCGACCCAGTTTGGAATGCGATAACCAACGAATAGTGGACTTACTAGCCAGAATTATTATTCATGGTCAAAACATGTCAACACATTCTAAATGTGGTATGGCCATCCATCCTTTATAATTAAGGACTTATAAACATAATCCAACAAAAAAAAACTCCATTCATAGGGAATTTCTATGGAATTGTCTAATGTCATGTTTGTTTACCCTCTGGTAAACTGTCACACAACTATGGAAAATCACCATTTAAATTTATAGCAATGTTTCCCAAAAAAAATGGTGATTTTCCATAGTTATGTGGCTATTTACCAGGCTGGGTACCCCTCCTTTCCATAGCGGGATTCCCGTGGCAAAAATCCGGCACGGCCTAGTGCCACGAAGGTGATTCCAGTGACCAGGTCCGGAATCTCAAGAACCTGAAAAAAGCGATTGAAAATGGCCATGTTTAATAGGTAAACCATCTATTTCTATGGGATATGAATGGGATATACCCTCTGGTAATAGCTATTGAACATGACCATAGAAATAGTGGTGACTGCGGGATGGTTTGATCATGGCTTTATTCTTGTTTTACCCACATGATGTCCAATTTGATTTCCTTCAACCCCAGGATGAAGAAAGAAGTTGGCCTGACCTGGGGCCAAGGCCAGGGTGAAGATATCCATGTTTTAACCAACAACCACTTCTCTCCGCATTCCAAAAAGAGAAACTAGGTCATTGAATAACTATGTGTTATGTGTGTGGCGTTTCTGAGAATGGAGTATACGCCCTTTTTTTGAATTATGATTAGGGGATGCAATGGGGTTATATCATAGTTATATCCTATTTTCAAACAAACAGATGAACTAGCAACCCAGACTGCACTTTTGAACGGCCCGTTTAGGGACTTACCAACATCACACAAGAAAAAAGTGACTGCGCTATTGGCCATCATATGCCACTTGCGCTTGGTAAGATTGTAACATGATGCAACTTGATAGAACCAAGTTGCAGTACCAACCTTTCAGATGACCAACTAATTCTTAGCCAAACATCAGATCGCCATAGATCGCAGCATTCCGACGTCACTTTTCCATGCGGCTGCTCCTCAATTTTGCTGTAGCGCACAAGCATTGAGGTACTAGTCACGTCTAAACCATCCAGATTTGTGGCTTAAAGATGGGGTACTCAAATTGAAATTCGGCTGAAACGGAAGTATCATATAGATTAATATAGTATCATCCCGTCCCCCTATTACTACCTGAGGTGTTTATTATTTGGGGACGGGGGGGGCTATAGTAGGGGGAAGAGATTACTCGGTACTGACATCTCGAATTTTTTTCAGGGCTTTCCTATAGACCTCAATCAACCTTCATGATCTCTATTGCCCACTGTTTGTGGCTGGAGGCTATGTTTAGTATGTCTATGGCCTACTGGCATATCTCGAAAACATTCAAATCTCACCAGGATGCCTTCCGCTGCCCTGGGCCCCCTGGGGCCATCTGGGCCCCCTGGGGCCCCTGGGGCCCCGTGCGCAACCGAAGATCTCCGCCATGTCTCCAATCACCGCGGTCAAAACTCAGCAAGGCTAAGATGGTGGACTTGCTATCATGGTGAATCTTAGATAGCAACATATGGCAACACATCTCGTTTTCAGCTGGTGAATGATGAATGTACATTTTACTGATCGCAATATATTAAAGTACTAGTTCGTATCCAACCCAGGTTTACCCAGCTATGGCGTATGGTCAATCAGTCTGAACTTTGAATCTTGGATACCAACATTAGTTTGAAAATCCTGTCAGAAAGTAGCAATAGTGGTGAACACCTACCCCAAACAAAACTTATTGAATTGGTGTGCTAGTGGCATTAACATATGCTCCATGTATGGAAAGTGTTACCAACATTTACTCCCAAAAGCAGGTACATATACCATACATGCAGCATATGGGATTGATATCTATGTTTGCCGATAAAGTGACAAACCCAATAGACCCCAACATTAGATCCAAGTAGGTCATTATAGTGATAATGAAATAAATTGGGCCGGGCCGGCTGAATGTACCACAATGTGGGGCGCCATTGCTAGCCAAATTGAATTTTATAGCGAGTTAACTATGTTTTATGGTAGATATATCTACAGTTACCGCAAATAGATATCTTCACCAACTTATAGGTGGGGGTGCCCACATGATGCAATTCCCTTGCCATTGGAGGAGCCGCCAAAGCTCCCAGATTCAAGGGCTTCCAGGGCCGCGGCAAGCGATGTAAGCCAGTGAAACGATAAAACACACCTGGCCGTGGGACTTTTTTCAAAGGGGCGATACATGCAACTGATATCTACCCACAATCTGGGGCCCAAAAACCGTAGCCAACTTGGTTTATAACTACTGTAGGTTAGTTGTGGTCCATGGTAGATATAACGAGGTACTTAGATGGGATACAATGGGACTATAAACCAACTTATACCTGCGGGGGCCCACATTGTAAAGTATATCCTTGAGTATCAATGCAATATGGCATGTTTGGTTGGTGTGTCTAATTGAATTCTAATTGTATTTGGGAAACACACCCATGCACCGCATTTTCCGTTTCTGCGAAATTGCTTGTTCCCAGAAATTGGTTCGTCATTGTCAAGATTTACCTCCAAAATACCAACATTTCCAGTACGAAGAGGTAGCCCGAAAAAAAACAAAACAAACTAGCTCAATCTTTTTGGCAACTATACCAGCACATACCAGCACCATAGGCTCGCCAATAGATGGTGAAACTGAGTTTCCGGGCCCAGCCGCCCACGAAAACCTTCGGTGGCACTGGCCAAAAGAACCTGGGCCATCTGGGTTTCGCCATGGAGGGTACAGGAAACTCACACTGAAAGCCATGGGTTTCCCAGCAGATTCCTAGGCCCCTAAATGTCCGCTTCAAGTCTGGGAGGTTTCAACATGTTTCAACTGCAAATTTGGGGCAAGAAATATATAATATTATAATGAAATTTCATGGGGGTGTTCTATATGGTTTCTTGAATCGGCTGACATTGCTTGCTAGTTTCACAGCACCGCAGAGATAGACACGTCGTGGACAACTCAATGAGGCTTGGAAGCACGGAAGAATGGCCTCCTGGAGTAACACCCCTTGGGGGCACAGGAATGGTGCTCCTCAGCACTTCTATGACAGAAGCCCTTTCCAAGCCAGCGAATGAGAGAGTCTTCGTCTGAATCGACCAGCGGTGCTGTTACCGAAATTGTCTTCAGATTCAGTCGTTTCACTGGCCCCTGGCTTGAGCATGTCTCCAACAAGACCAAGGCACACAGTGATCATGTTTCAACGTAAAACATTCATCATTGGGAGACGTCCCCCAACTGAAAAATTCATCGTCCTCATATCCCGACGTTTTGATCACTGACCCAGAGGCTTTGGCTGAACACAATGGCTGTTTGGCTGTTTGGCTGACGTAAAATCCACCGGTTGATCGATGAATCATGCATCGGCATTATCATCATGTTCCCTATGAAACAAATAGCCATGACGAATCATACCCTTTTTCCGACGCCATCCCATGCAGCCCAGCGACAACTTCCAAGGTAAAGAAACGAAGTGGAAAACGAGGTCGAAACACGATGCCTCCGGCGCAGCGCTAATGCAACGCGGGGGCGACTGGGACTGTGCGGCCGGACGCGCCTCTTTTTGGGATTCCCAAGTGCCACCACAGAAGATCGCTTCCATGAATTGCATGCCTTGGTTTAGCGGGATCCAATCATCTCCTGAGGATGGTACACACATATATATATATATACATTTTTATTTATATATAGATATATTATATATTATATACTATATATATACATACATATATAATTTATATTAAATATATTATATATTATTTTATCTATATTATATTATATATATATATTATGAATTCCAACCATGTTGGGAATGTGATTGGAAACCCGATCATACTCTGGGAACAGGATTGGATCTCCAGGACATCAACATGACTTGCGACCCAACAAGATGAGGGTTTTTTCAGATTGCAAATCACAGACGCCGCAATATCCCAAAAAAACTTGGATGCCCTGCTCAAGCAAGTTGATTCTCAGCTGGATAGGTTTGAGGATGTTGCTGCTATTGTCATGGTTGCTGCGAACCATTTTTTTTCCCGTCAGCTAATCACAGCAATGGGAAATTACCATTTAAATTTGGACCCAATCAAAATATTGTTCGATACAATATATTATTATGTTTCTGCTCACTGTCATGTTGGGTTACTGGAGGGCAAGCAGAATATGCTCAGAATCTTGTTGCCCTTCTGTACTGACCCTGAAGGAAGAAAGGTCCGAACCACAAATTCAACACAATGACACCTTAAGCGTTTGCCGAGGCAGCCAGGAAAAAAGTGGAACAAGTATGCACATTGTGCATAGTTTGCTTCTCCTCATTCTTATGGCAAACAATGCACCTTGTTGGCTTTTCACGGATTAGTTAAATCTCAAAGGACAGATTACACAAAACCTGTCTTTTGACGTCAAGTAAAAACGGATCATCAAACCAACCATATTCTTATATATATATATATAGAATGTCCCGGCAACATCTGGAGCCGCTTCAGGATTCTTGCCTTCCCGCCATTGGGACCCCGACGCCACTCAGTTAGACCCAAACTGACCTGACCGCAATTGCGATCAATACGAAGCCGTTGACGGGTGATTTTTCTATTTGAACTTCAGTTGTAGGATATACATGGATATACCCTCTGGTAAACAAACATAGCTATTGAAAATGGCCATAGAAATAGTGTTTTTTTCCATTAAACATGGTGATTTTCCATAGTTATGTTAGTTTACCAGAGGGTATAGGGGATTTCCCATTGCCATGTTTGATTGCCGACCGTGTAACCCAAATTTATTTTTTGCTGTCCGCTTTGCAACCTCATCTGCTATTGACACTGGATTGCACTAACCCTCAGCTCCTTCTCTGTATTACCATATGGCTGAAACTTGGGGTGCCAAAACAACAATTGGTTGATCTATTTCTGGATTATCCCATATATTATGGAAAATAAACAATCTTTGAAACCACCAACCAGGTTTTGATGCTTTTTTACTCAAGATGGCCTCCAACATATGTACATATTCCCCCCAAAAAGCTTCCTCCGTCAGCATGAACCGCTGGGAAGCTCAAAGATCATCGACGCAAATGCTGTCGGTTGTAAACCCTTTATATTTCTCATCGGTTCCGATGAAACAATGCCTTCCAATAAATGTATATACTGTAATTGTTGCTTCAATCCCCCAGAGTGGTCCCATTATGTCCCATTATATAAATCCTATCGTTCCTTAGATGGTTCAATCCCATAAAAATCTCCAGCATCAGCTGTCCTTTGAACCCCAACAATCTTCACCTCATCACAGTTGAAGGTGGCATCCAACCATTTGCTGGCACCCTCATCCGCTTCATTCACCTCAGGCTGAAGGCGAGGGTGATCAAAGCCTTCCCAAGCAATGCGGTTACAAATCGTCATCCAGTGAGGTGGAAAACATATCAAGAAACTGCCAATTAGGGTATGAAATGGAATTCGTTTTTCGAATCATCCATGCACTTTGATTACAAAACCAGAAACCATGGATTTTCACATGCACTTTGACGATTTCCTATGAAATTCCCTTAAACAAATCCATCATCCAGGTGTAACTGAGGTAACCACCCCAATCATAATGGTCTGGGTGTGAGAATCGCGATTGCCTCCCTCCTGGGTGTCGAATTTGGCTCCTGTCGGCGCCGCTCAACAAACACTTCTATGAAATTGGACAGGAACCTGCATAGAATCCATGTTCACATTTGCCGCATGTCTTGTTTTCAAATGTTTGTTAACTTTCTTCAAGAATCATACAGGTCGTTTATACAAAACTTGAATGGAATGAATCCAAACAGCATCTCTCTGATAGGCATTGGAGTTTGCCAGAGCCAGAGCTGGGAAGCCAAATTTCACCGATTTCAGGTTGTGCGCGGGTGTGAAAATGTGTGTGTGTGTGTCGCTTATATATATAATATATATATATAATATATATAATATATATATATATGTCTGTCCCAAATTGCTGATCCCAAATCCTAAAAGCTCTCTCTCTCTCTCTCTCTTCATCGCCCTCTCCGGGAATGAAGGGATTGACACCAAAAAGATATCACCCAAATTGGTTGTTCAAACACGTTGAATCCACGATAAAACACCAAGATTTCCTGCATTTCTTGTTGTCACATGGGGTGGCCTCCAAGGACCAAATTGGTTTACCGGATATACCACATATCTAGCATAAGTAACATAAGCCCTAGTTATATCCAGTTATAGGAGTTAAACGCCAACTTAGTTAACCAGTAAACTTCGACCTTGTAAAATCAGCCTAAAAATGTTATAGTGAAGCCTTCACTATTGCTGCTTAGTCACATGTTAAATTACCACCCAAAACTAGGGGACACCACCACCACCCAAGCCGCACCAACTTCCCATGGATAATTCCCAAGATGATCCCATGATGGGGCCCCCTAATCCCCGGCAAAAAGTTCATGGTTTGCAGCAACACTTATAACAGTTATGGCCATGGCTATAAACGTTATAACTGGTTATTTCTATGGGATAAAACGCATTCTAAAACGGTGTTATTTCAGTACTTATGACTGGTATGTTGGGCCATAACTGTAGTCCAACTACTAGTCATCCCTATTACTAGCCTTTTACCCCCTGGTAATTTGTTCAATTTAACAGTTTGCTATTGAACATAGCCACCTATAGTTGATTTACCCATTAATAACAATGGCTAACGATAGATTTCTATGTGTGTTTAACCATGTGGTTAATGCTTTGCCCATTCATATCCATTATATAGTTTGTTCTACACACACTAGTCGTTAATCATTCATCATTGTGTGGATCCATGTTTAACCACTAATGGTTCTCTCACACTAATGGTTAAACACACATTATCTGGGTAAATTATAAAATTTCACTAACCTGAATTAAGGCTATTTGTTTTTTTTTTTCCTTTACTAACCATGATTCCAGGGTTAGGGAGGACAGTGAGGTCGTTATAATTTACCCAGACATTATAGTTGATTTACCCATTGATAAACAATGCTGGATCGTCCCATCATGTTTTCTTACCAGCGGCCCATCGTTCCATCCTTCGGCTTCATCGAGGATCAGCAGGAATTTGTCCGCGATCTCTTCCATCCGTTTGGCCAAAATCCTCACTTCGTTTTCGAAAAAAAAAACTGGGATAAGAAGTGCCATGAACAATGGAAACATGCTATGGTTTAACCATGATATGTATATATATATATATTAACAATCCTGTAGGATGGTATATGTACCATTGAAGTTTAACAATAGGATATTTATCACCTAAAATGGTTGGCTTAATATCGCTTAAAGGCTTAAATTATAGTTTCATATGGAATAAGATGATAAACCCATGGTTTAACCACCATAAAATTATGGTGGTCTTGGCTATGGTTTTACCATCATGGAAATGGTGATATTTTGGCTATGTGATGATAGATTGGATTGTTTTACTGGTTAGTTTACTGGTTTACGAAATGATCCAGTCCCACCATGTTTTTCTGTTAGTATCTGACAAAACTCATGACATTCGCGATTTAAACCCATTCCAAACATCCCAGCTCGTCATCACCAATCATCCCAAGTTTTTTGTATGGTTGAAAAATAAAAACCACCAGCCATACTTAAACCACCATATTAACTATTTGCTATTTGCGTTTTTTTTTCAACCATTAAACAAACAGCAAAATAGTTAAAGTTCAAAAGAATCTATGGAGAAACGTGTTGAAACCACCAAGCAAACATGGTTCCCCATGAATCCGGAACGCTAGGAGCGCATAGCATGACCTGTCTCAGTGGGAATATGAAGAAACAAAGGGCATGATTAGTGCCAAGAAAGCAACACGATTAGTAGCTTGACAGGTATGATTCATGATTCATATTCTCATACTTGAATCATGAATCATATGGGATATGATTAACTCTACTGCTTTGGGGTATCATTCTCTCACTGATAATGATATATCATTATCAAACTGATTGGCTATGGAAAATTCATGTGCTGGTTGGTGGTGCAATAACCATCTTGAAAAATATGAAAGTCAATGGGAAGGATTATCCCATATATCATGGAAAAAATGATTGAAACCACCAACCAGATGTGTGCTCTTATTTGTTTTCAGGTACCTGAATTGGAGGTACCTGGTTCCAACATGGGGATATGGTGATTTTTTTGGCTTGGATAAGCAAGGCAGGTGTTTGTCAGGTGATCCTTCAACAGAGTTGGTTGCTTTGAGACACCATGAGTCATGTATGACCCCCCCCTTCCCTCCAGCAAAAACAGAAACACCAATCCCCCAAAAAATGGAAGTTGGCAAACATCACATTAACATAGTGACAAATGGAACATGTTTTGCATCTGTTTGGGGTTACGGTAAACATCTAATCCCAAAAAACATATTTTAAAGGAAATAACAATTAAGTATCATTTGAATCAAATTAGAATGCATCGGAATCCGGTTCAACTTCCTTATCAACATCTCGCCAAACAAATCCATCAATCCCTTCTCCAAGCAGCTCAATCTCAATAAATCGCTCAGTGGCACCCGGCGGGAACTCTAAGGTGCCCTGACATTGCGCGGTGATCACTAGGGCCCGCCCCGGGGTGCTGAAGTTCTTGGATCATGCAATTGGTAAACAAAAACGTGGCTGGCTGGAAAAATCTCCTGTAAATAGTGTTTTAATGGGATAAAATCAACCAGAAATGGTGAATTTTCCATTGCCATGTTTGAGCACCAAAGGGTAAGCCTGGTTCGTAAGTCACCGATTTGTGGGTTATCCGGTTATCCCATCTATAAATGAGTTAATAATCACTGTTATGAAATCAACAAAAATCAACAGTTCTCAAATCACCACGATGGTATTGATGGATTCTAATGGATACAAACATTTTCATTAGATCATTTTTCATTTTCACAATGCCATTGGTTGGTGGTTTCAACCTACTATTGGCTGGTAATCTACTGTTCATAATGGTTATTATATGGTTATTATATGGTTAATGATGGTTAATAATCATCAAATCACCATTCCAACCATTCCAACCGCTGGAACCGTTCGCCGTTCGGCGCTGCCTCGGTTTCCTCGTAGTCAAAGCCCGGCACCGACGACAAGCGCGCCGTGCGGAAGTCTCAGCCATGGCATTGTTCCAAGGTGGTGCAGCCCGGAGTTAGCCAGCTAAGATGGTTTATATATATATATATATTGTATGTTTATATATATGTTTTTATATTTTGGTTTATGGATGTTTATGATGTATGATATGACAAACATATATCATAATATAAAAAAAAAAAACATATAAACACACACATATATATATATAAACAAACCAACCATATGGCTTAAGTAACTTGAGTATGGTGCACATGTTGGATATAGGATGGGGTCGTGGAAACTCAAGCAACATGACCGGCGCCACTTGGTACCCAAACTGGGACATATTTTGGGATAGAAATAGCGCCCAAAAGAATTCCAAAAGATAGACAAGTATCTTTACCCACCAATTTAGAATGTATAATCCAAGCAATTTAGAATGGTAAAGACATGTAAAGACTAACTATGACTAACTGCGAAAAATCTTCCGGGGCGTTCCGCATATGGTCACAAAACAGGAGCCCATCCTTCTGCAGAAGGCATGTCGGCTGAGGCCCTCACTACACCGAGCAGGGCCTGAACCTGACACGGACCACGTTTTTTTTCAGGCGATTGCGTGATTTTATGTGAATAATCTCAATCTCACATCTTAATCTTCAAAATGAGAATGGAAGCGGAATAGATCAGAAAACCATCTTCCAATCTGCGAAAGTAACAACTCACAAACCTAAAAAATCAGGCGAGTTTGGGATAGTTACCCCTACATTCACCATTCCAGGCTTCGGTCGCAGTAAGCTTTGCCTTTGCAGTTGGAAGCCATGGAAACAAATCGGTTTAGCCGTGGCGGCCACTGTCCAGCTTAACATCGTGTATAGACAAATGCATATACGGAATGATACAGATACATTCATTAATTAAGTTATATATTGCGGCTATCATTCATATCGTGGTTCACTCTCTCTCTCTCTCTTTCAAAAACATGAGCGAACAAAAAGCAAAAGAATCTGAGAAAATATGTCTGATATGTTGCCCGTTTGGGACTTAAATACAAACAACAACAATAGACACCAGCCATTCCCCGCTCGGGTTTCAACAAATTTGGTCAAGGAACATCCATCCAGGCGCTCAACGATGCACTGCAACTTTTGTGCATGTGATGCCTGCGAGCAGGGGGCCCGAAATACCCGTTATAAGTACTGAAATCACCTCATTTATAGAATGCATTTTATCCCATAGAAATAACCAGTCATAACGTTTATAGCCATGGCCATTTTTCTGCAGGGGACTTACTACTCTCATCACCCCATGAGAGCTTTCCCAAAAATCCCCTGGGATTGGAATCTCCCTAGTCCAGCATGGTTAGCCCATGCTAAGCCCAAATGTTTGATTGCCCCTTCTCAGTACATTTTGTGGTGTTACCACACCTTTAAGGTCGTCAATGCACACTGCAGGGTAGATCATCATCTATTGTCTCTCTAAACGCTCGTAAAAATAACACGATTTCTTCAAAAATCCGTCCCAGGCTAAGTTCAAGGGAATCTCTAAACAAACACTTGGAACATGAACATCACAGTTAATTATTGCCCTTTTACCAGTTTTAAGTCAGTTATGACTCTATTTATGGAATGTATAACCACATTTACAACATTTTACAACCATTCTTTTCCTGAAGTGAAAAGGTTTACACCTCCAAAATGTCAATTAGTTCACTCCGAAATCATCTTGACGTGCCTGATATTAGCCACACAATAGTCCATCAACCATTGGTAAAGATGGTAATTCAACAGAAACATCAACAAACATCAACAAACAAATAATCCATCAACCATCAAAAACATCAACAAACAACATTTGTTTCTGATGTTGGTAAGCAAAAATAAACCACCCACGTAAATTGCTGGTTCACATCGCACCCACAAAAATGGTAAATCATTGGGGAAGGTGGATCCTGTTGCACTATCAACATTATAGTTCAACCCGATCCCTTTCCATCAATATTAAACCCTAACAAGCAATCAGGATGAATCCACCTACCAAAGTCGATGTTTTTCCGCCAAAAAATCACAGCCGAGCTACGCCAGGAACAGCGATGCGCTCAAAGGGAAACCTGACATCGTTGGAGAGATATGTCTTGATCCCATATCATGGGGATATCATGGGGATATCATGGGGATATCATGGGGCTATACTTGGGTATGTTTGTTTTTTAAAGCACCCAATTAATGGCCTTCTAACCGTTTTAACCAGCCAAAACGGGGATATACTTGGGATGATTTTTGCTGGGGATGTCATGAATTTTGTCTGAACATGATGGGTTTACCATGGTTTACCACCCGATATATGGCATGTTTGATGCGGACATGATGATAAACCTGGGAATGGCGCCTCGGTCTGGTTGGCTGATCCCCAGACCGATGACCGACCGATGGGCCATGGACGTTAGAAATTAAACAGCGATGAGTCAAACCACGAAAAGTGATTTATAAAAGGTAATATAAATTAAACATGGTGACTTTATAGAATTTACAAACTTATATTTATATACTTGTCTAAATAAACATGCAATTCACTTAGTGATAATTAGTACAAATCTACTCAGTCGATGATCAGTACTTATATATACTTAGTCTAATTAGTATTAGCTTGTAAATTAAACAGTGGACTGGGTGAAACATGTTTAGCCTGTCCCTTCACTTCGGCTATTGGAAGTTCCTCTCTGGCCTTCAATCTCCTTCAAGTCATTCTTGGCTGGCACGTCTAGGGGTAAGTGGTCATATCACCAACGTTGTAAGGATTGCCATCCCAACTTATAACTATGAACAATCCCAATTTTTCGCAGGTAAATCATTGAACATGATCTGGGAAATCACCATTTTTAATTGGTAAATCCACTATAAATGGCCATTTTCAGTAGCCATCTTAGCTTATCAAAGGGTGCACCACCCCAACTACGCCTTTCAGTTGAGCCGAGCTACGAAAACACGCCCTTTCGATAGGCTGGGACCTCGGCTGGGTGGAATTACAGGTTGTACAGTGGTTATTTGGAGGTTTCCAATTGGGGTACCCCAAAACCATGGACCTCAATACCAAAACTGTCCAATGACTTGGATGATTGGGTTATTTATACCCCAACCATCCCCAACCCCCCCTTTCCCAAAGAAAAATCATGAAACATCCATCAGCTTTTCCCGAAACTCGGCACAGCAAGAGAAAAGCGGGTGTACCCCGGGATCATCACAGTTGCCCCACGGTGATTCGGGGATTTTGTTTGGACGGAAAAACTATGAAAAACTCGCACCAGGCAAATTGGTAAGCAAAGATAAATCATGAACCAGCCTCAATGGGGACCCAAAATAAATGGACCATTTAACTTACCAAGATTTCTCCCAGGGTGCTCAAGAGGTTGGCATTACACAGATCTGAGCCCCCCAAAAGATTGAACAATTGTTGTGTTTCCAAGCTGCTACTTCGATGGTGGTTCCATGTGTTTCCCGAAAATATGTTCCAACTGTTCCAACTGCTCGGCATCTTTTGGGACTTGCTTTAAATAGAAATTTACATAAATATATATCGTATATATACCTTCATACTTCATATATCTTCATATTATATTAGGTTGGTGGTTTTAACCCATCTTGAAAAATATGAGTTCGTCAGTTAGGAAGGATTATCCCATATATTATGGAAAGTAAAATTGATGTTTGAAACCACCAAGCAGAATATGTGAACCTCCCACCATTGCTCTACTATTTTCATAGAAAATGCATGTCAACTCCGCTGGGAATCGCACGAAGGTGACCACTGTGGCATGGATGTCACCAATTTCCTCAGAACGGGGCCGGAACGGGGCAACGGGCTCAGGGCTTACAAAACCGACAAAAGCAACATGCAAAAGACATGGAATTAGGGAGATAGGATATGGATATAAGATGATATAAGATGATTAAAACAAACATGGATATAACACGGAGATCTTTCATTAACCATGATATAGCATGATGTCAAACCACAAGAAATTCAGAAAGGCCGGGAGCCTCCCCAAGGTAGCCTCCCCACAACAAAAATCCGCTGACGGTGGCTGATATCCCCTCAAGTCCTTAATTCTTTTGGGGCAGTTGATCTATGTTGATCTGTTTGCATTTCCAGTCTAGGTTGACCCAAAATGGATTCAAACGATTTCAAGAGACATCAAATACAGGAACACTCCAACAATTGATTGTGGAAACCATGGGTTCCACCAAAAACCACCAGCGTTCTTCAAACAACATGTATCAACAATGCAGTAGATTAATGTAGATTACGAATTAGATCTTTTGTTTGTCATCTGGGTAAATTATAATAATTCACCAACCTGAATTAAGGCCATTTGGGGATGATTTCCCTAACATAAACCATGATTCCAGTGAGGGAGGACAGTGAGGTCGTGATGAAATTTACCCAGATAAATGGATATAAATGGGTGCTATGGTTACCATTCCCAAACCCAAATGGGTGTTTTTCGATGTTTTTCTTGACTGCATCCTCCACAAATGGGAATTTAGATCACACCAAATGCGGGTCGAAAATGCTCAAAACCACCATTTTGGTGGAGCCCTGGCCCAGGCCATAGCGAGCATCCATCAAAACTGGCGCAGCACCAGCTCCATTGATGACCTCAGCGCTGGGTTTTGATGATCATTTTGATGAACAGTGGGTTTTATATGATTTTATCAGCAAGAAAAATGATGCAAATCGAGATTCAACGGGGATTCAGCGAAAGAAATATAATGTGTTTTTTGTTCTGGGTGATATATGGGGATCATGATGATACGTGGACCTGTCAACCCTCAATTTATGGCAATGCTACCAGGGCGGAAAATGGTAAATAGCGATCAAATCTGGTGGCAACATGTGGCAACCTATTTTCAAACGAGCTCGAAGATCACCACTACGTAAGAATGGCTGCAGTATAACAGTTCACCGACCTGACTCACATAAGGTTACTTGGGCATGCTTCTCCCTATTTCTCATCATCTACAGTGATGTCGTTGTGATCTTGCTGTAGTTCAACCAAACCGCGTGTCACAATCAAGACGTTCATGATGATCAAATGCAGTTCAGTACTGGAAAGAAGGCAATGGGACAATTTCCGGAAAAACACTGTTTTTTGAAGGGAAAACGTCTCTAATTAAACCATTGATCTGATCATGATTCATAGAAACCAGCATACGTCAAAACAAATCTTCGACCTAACTTCTTTCACGACGCAGCACACCGAACGAAAAAAAAAACCATGGAATCCCCAGGATCTCCTGTTACGAAAAAACCGGGCCAAGCTGCGGCTTCACAGGTCTCCATCTTTACCACGACTTCCTGACGTGGACGACATGTTTGGCCCCAAAAAAGTTGCCGAAAAGTCACATGGTACTGAGATAGTGACAGTGATGAATTTTAGTGACAAATAGTGACCTGGTTGGTGGTTTAACATGTTTTAACCATCTTGAAAAATATGAGTTCGTCAATGGGAAGGATTATCCCATATATTATGGAAAATAAAAAAATGTTCCAAACCACCAACTAGTGACTATATGCATAGATAGTGCCCAAATGTCCTAGCTTTTGGGCTTTTTGTCATTGATATATAGAATGCAAAACCCATCCCCAAATCGCATAAACTACTATTTTCGTATGCAACATGAATAGATGCAATACTACACCATGGTTTCCTTTGGGTGGTATGTAGAATGACGGGGGATTACTGTAGTTCCATATGTTTTACCCAAAGTCTACCCACAAAAATAACATGTTTACACTGACACTTCCTCATAAACATGACCCCAAAGGCCCAGTTGATATGCCCAGTTGGTTATTACTATAGGTTGATATATGGTGAATCTATGGTTCATAATGGTCAATAGTAATAACCTATAGTTATAGTTATATATGGTTATAATATGGCATTCGAATATAGAGAGAGAGAGGTCGAGGTATAACATGGCTGACTCTGGACACAGCAATTTGGATGTTTCACATTTTCTTAAAGGCACAATTGCCAGAGTTTACGGCAACACGTACAGAGTAGACTGCAAATATGAAAGAATCATATGTGATCTAGTTAGATCAAAAGGAGAGATAGAGGCGACGAGAGAGGGGTTCTAAAAGCACTGCTGCCCATATCAGGTGGTGAACTAGCACACTAATGTGGAGGAATATGTGCGTATATATATATATAAAACAAACAACATGGGGCATTAACCCACAATTAAATACAATTAACATGAACTCATTAGACGTCTTACCAAAAATCAACTAATCACCAACACCTGTTACAGCAACCTGCAATACAGTTTTTTCTTTGAATGTCCAGGACATTTTCGGCTTCATATCTGCCGGAAATTCTTCCAAATTCAACTGCCATTCACCACGGGCCTTTCCACCAGTTATAATGCGTGTATAACAATTTTAGGCCAATAATTTCCCCACAACTGTGTTGGTTATCTACATTTTTTGGGTGCGCATCTTTGCCGCTTACCCACGATTGCGACATCGAAGAAACTGTTTTCTTGAATGTACCAAGAAGCATGACGCTTGGAGAATCCTAATAAACAAGTATAGTTAGACTGAGATTCCGTGATATACACTGTCAACCCCGCATTATCACCATTATGTGCCCATAGCATTCCGAGTACATTTCATCATCTGAATGAAAAAAAACATTGAACAGAATGGGCTGTACTCCATTCTATATGGTGGCATATCTACATTGCCTTCCCACCATATTCCATCGTCTCATTGCTGGCGATATACAGAAACGACCAGTAACCACCATTCATGACCAATGCCTTTCCCCCCTAGAATCATTTTAAACATCCCCCATAAATGGCTTTCTGTTCAGATCAAGAACACATATTTGGGACCATACGATGGGGCTGCTTAACATTGGGGGAGCAGGATTATTCATAATGTCAACCCCGGATGAATAACCCATCACTATTCATTGGGGGTTTGCCAATACATTGCTATTAAAATTGGTACCTCCCCTATCAACAAACAATGGTTTTGCTAATCCTGGGACATAGTTAGCCAAGTTGGTGCAAATAACTCCAATTCATCATACATCCATAGTGTTCATGGGGGTTATATGAACCAACAAACAGTTCACTGGGGCGACACAAGGTTGTGCCCCCCCCCAGTTATAAGTTGGTTTATAAACCCTAGTAAGTATAAGTATAGATATCTCTACTCTCTGGTAATTTAACCTATATAGCTATTGAAAATAGCCATTTATAGTTGATTTACCCATTAATAGCATGGTGATTTTCCATACCTATTTAAACGTTTACTAGAGGGTATATCTACCATAAACCATAGTGAAATTGGAGTTACGTGGCCTCCAACTTAGCGATTTGCATCACTGGGGCACCACCTTGCACCTTTCAATGACGGAACCCGCCCGGGTCGCCTCCTGTAAGACTTTACTCTGCCTGGTGCTAGGGCTGGTAGCGGCTGAAAATAATGAGAGGTATCATGTTCAAACTGATATATAGGGACTTTACATATATGATTTATTTATCTATTTATATATGTTTACATATACATATACATATGCATATACATATACATATATAAATATATATACATATGCATATGCATATCCATATACATATACATATACATATGCAAATACAAATACATATACATACACATACACATACACATATACATATAATGACGTATATCTATATAATTCTATATATATAAGATTTTAAGAATATCTAAGTCATTCAAGATTTGTTCATCTGCTGCAAGGCTTGTCGTTGCCTTTGCTGGCGCTGTTGCTGTTGTCAAACAGAAAGGGTAAACTCAAGTTCTCTGATGGCGACAGGGTCATGGGTCAGCCAAGGCCGCATTTTGCAACTTTTGCTAGCGCATTGCTAGCGGGTAAAATTACGTATATATTCGCAAAATTGAAGGACACACTTAGAAGGCGCTAAGTGTTATATCTTTTTTTTGTTCTTCATGTTGAAATACCAAGCAGTCGGCAACACAAAAATCGTTGAACATGGATGTTCAAAAAACCTAGCGGGTTTGCGAGCGCTGCCTTACAGAATTGGTGACTTTAGTTGCGTGCCGCCTCATAATGAAGAGGAAAAACCACTATAGATTCACACTAATTATCACACACTAGTAAAAAACTTCTGTCAACTATTTTTGGCACATGGTCATATAGCTCTCTGATTGCGAGAGAAAAAAAAAAGGCCAAACACAACTGGGATAAACTGGAATATGATTAATGGAATGAAGCATCATCAATATATCAAACTGGACTCTAAGTGAGGTTTTCAACAATCCATCTCTGTCTTATATATATATATATAGACGTGATATATATATATATATATATATGTGATATAAGGGCTATGATACCGGCCTAACTCAATGGCCATTTCAGGATCCTAGATTGGAGGTACCTACCATATATAAGGCCTATGTAAGGCCTATGTAAGGGAATATCCCCACAAAATATGGCCTTATATGGTACAGTACCTCCATTTTAGGATCCTGGAATTCCCATTGACTAACCCGTTGTTGGCATCGAAATACCAGCCCAACCCGTCAAGTCTCGTCTCGTCGCCTGACGATCTCCACAGGCACATCCTGCAATGGGTTGGGAAAGGTCCAAACATTGAGGGTGTAGTAGTGGAAAAAATAGGGCTAATATATATATATATATATTATAAATGAATATAAATAAATGGAAATCAAACATGTCGTGACCGAAGAAAATGAAAAACACACACATTCCAACCTACCTAGTTGGAGCCCAATATTTTGAACAGGTTCAAGCAGGTTCTTACATACACATTCACAAGCTAGTAGTTTGTCCATTTCCCGCTGAAACATGTCACAAATAATGGACATAATCTGGTTGGTAAACCGTCCCATAACGAACTGGAAAATCACCATGCTATCAATGGGTAAATCCACTATTTCTATGGTCATTTTCCATAGCTATGTTAGTTTACCAAAGGGTATGTTTACTACCAATCTTTTGGCAAAACAACACATCTGTCGAAAGCAGGTGACCTCAATCCATCCCGTTTTTTGTTGCCGTAGAGCAGCATCCACTTCCGCTTGAGCGGCTCCTTGAACTCCGTCATTTTTACGAGTAAAACTTGTAAAAGCCATACTGGTTGGTGGTATACCTAGGACCTAGCCCTCTGAAAAATATGAAAGTCAGTTGGGATTACTATTCCCAATATATGGAAAAATAGCGTACTTAAACTCCGTCATAACCGCGCCTTCACCATCTGGCCCGGCGTCATGCTGAAGCTACCGCGACCAATGACTTCCATAGAGCCCTGGCGCTGCAGATTACTTGGGAAACCTGGGAATTAGTTGATTACATGGGATTTTACAGTGATTCAATGGGATATTAATGGGATATACCCTCTGGTAATTTAACGTAGCTATTGAACATGGCCCATTTAGTTCGTTGTTTTACCAAGTTTTTGCCTATTAAAGATGGTGCTTTCCTAGCTATGTTTGTTTACCAAAGGGTATGTCCCTCGAACATATTGATCTAAATCAACAGGATGCACCCGCCTCAATGACTTACCATTTTTCTGGCTGGTCTCTCAATCAGCCCCATAACACCTTTGAAGTTTCTTCCTTGATGCTTCAAGAACCAAAACATGTGGACAAGTCACAATCCCTAACCTGCCGTGTTGGGCCGCCCTAAACTGGCACCTCCAAGAATCAAACGGAAGATAAACGTGGCCAAATCTTGGACATGACTCCATAAGGATGGCAGAAGATCAAGACTGTACTAAATTACATCCAAATAACCTATGGATCATTAATGATCATTAGGTGTTTCTGATGCCAATGGTTCTGTGTCCAAATCCCAAAACATCAAAACCACGGGAAGTTGGGGTAAATTTCACCATGGGGTCCACCACATTGCGCACACACACAAAACGAAAACATCCAAAAACAATCACATCAACTATCTTTGTAGTTTGTCTAGCTAGTTTGAAAGTAGTTTGCATATATACAGTGCGTACTGTGCATATATGTATATATACGTACAGATATATGTGTGTGTGTGCGCGCCTGCGCATGTGTTTCCATGAACATATAATAATTGTACAAAACTATTCAGGCCACATGTTTCCCTGTCATCGCTGTGCCTCGTAGTTGTCAGGGTCTGTCACGTACACAGACCTTATGATCAGGGCTGCGAGCAGGGACAACATTGGTACCGTCCCCTGAAAAGCAAGCAAACATGAATACTGTACATAACAAAAACTTTAGTGACAATCAACAATTCACAATCTGGATCATTCATAATCATTCATAATGATTGTAGCAGTGTTAAGCCCCTACTTACCATCATCTAAAGGACCATTGGTATAATGCAGACAGACCAATGGTCCAAATAAATCAATACCCGCATTTGTTTCTGGCTGTATACCCAGTTTCCCGGACTATTGGTGGTTCACATACCCATATTTTATATATTGCTTTGTTACCCATCCGGATCAATTGCTGCTGGCTGTCAATAAAGCGTGGTTTGTATTTCCACTAGTCGGCCAAGCAGTACAAGGTGATGCCCCCTACTTATAAGTTGGCTATAGTTTATGGCAGATATATCAACAAAGCTAATTGGGTTTATACAAGAAAAAAAACTGCCGGGGCACCACTGGTAGTTCACTGGCTGGTTATTGTGGGTTATAATGTTGAGTGCTATCCCATTGAACTATCGCATAATCCAGATCAAGGCATCTTATAATAGTTGTTATCCAAGTATAGCCCCATGTTGTCATGCTCAATGACCCGCATCTACACCTATCTATCTATCTATCTATCTTTCTATCTATCAATCTATCTATCTATCAATCTATCGATCTATCTATCTAGCTAGCTATCTATCTATCTATCTATCTATCTATCTATCTATCTGTATATCCGTATATTATCCATCCATCCATCCATCCATCCATCCATCCATCCATCCATCCATCCATCCATCCATCCATCCATCTATATCATGTTGATAGTTATTGAACCTGTCAAGGTCCGAACAAAACAAGCTTCTCCTAGAACATTTTTTCACAATCCACAAGATGGTGCCCCAGTTTGTTTGCTAAGTTGGCGCAAATAATCCAATTTCACCATGGTTCAGGATACATAATGATACATCTATTTTGACATACAGGCTATCACAGATCCATAGTATTCATGGGGTTTATTCCTTAACATGGCCGTCACTGGGGGCGAGCACCAACTTGCAATCATAAACCCATTATATATATATATATCCCATCATATCCTATGATATTGCATAAATATCCAATCGTAAGTCAGCCATAAATACCATAAAATTCAATTAATTCTGTTGTTGGTTGAGAGAAACCTCTATGATCGGTTAAAATACCTGAGTCTTGTTGCTTGTTGGTTGAAATAAACACCATAAGATCATATAAAAATCCATATTAATGTTAGTGAAATACCATATAAATTCCTATAAATCCCACCAACTGATGCCGTCACATTTCTTTCGGATCATTCACCAGCTTTATAAATACCATAAATTATATAAATATCCCATCATTAATTTAGCTATAATAATTCAGCGATAAACATCCATACAATGTGAGGCCCCCCAGTGATGTTTGTTGGTTAACAAAAGCCCCAGTAACTATAGTTATAAATACCATAAACCATAGTGACATTGGAGTTATTTGCACCAACTGAACGCTATCTTGGGGGCCTCACATTGTACTAGAAAAAATCCCGTCGCGAAAAATGACCGAGGCACTGCAGAAGACTGTTCTGCGACGGAGAACTCATCAAGTCCTGGCCGCTCCGCTGTGTTTGACGGCCGTGGCCGAGCTTGACGGCTGTGAAAATGGCCACCCGGGGAACAAAAAAACAACACTATATATATATATATGTATATATATGTATTTTATATATACATATATGATATATACATAATTATATATATACATATGTATATATGATGTATATCATATATATATATATGAATGTTAAAGGAAATTAAGAAGTATACGGATGTATAATTGTGTTTTTCATACTATATATATATATACATACGAAAAAGGGGAGATTGGATGAAATTAGCAAACTATATATAATGAGTTAAGCATAGAATAGAACCAACGAGAATACATAAGGACGTTGGCTCTGAATTTGGCCAACTCAAAGGACTGGAAATAGTTTAGGCATCAGAGATTAAGCTGATGCCTGGGATTTGAAGGAACTTGAGTTGAATCTTCAAGTTGAAAGTGTTTTGGATGTGTCTCACAAAAATCTTTAAACACACAGTGCCCAGTAAAGCAACACATCTGGAAACAAATGGAGTTATAAATATTATATAATATCTATGTTAATTTACCCTGGAAACGGAAAACATATAGAATGTGGATTCTCATCCCATATTTGTCCATTTAATTTAAGGATTTTGCATCGCCATGTCAAAATACCAGCGCACCTTCGGCCGAAGGACTACATAGGTGCCAGTGATCATACCAATCCTCGGCATCGGAGCAGCTGTTTGGCCAAAATCAGGGGGTTACGACCATGGTGCATTTCCCCATGACGTTACGCATGATGAAATGTGGGTGTGTATAAAACTTAGCACTGGTTTATGATACGGACATGATGCGAGAAATTTGATGCTTGTCTCTCCATTCAAAAAAAAATGTTGGAAATTCGCCAACAAAAACGAATCCTACCAGCCATTCATCACCAGATGGACCGAAATCATTGGAATCCGCCCCCTCCCACAGCGGCCACATGGTGACAGAGGTGAGACTCGTATCAAAAGGACGTCTTGGGATGTTTTAAGAGAGTCACTTCAAACTAAGGTGATCAATATATAGTCATTCTATATTATATAGTCACTATATATTATATAGTCATTATTTTGTTATTTTCATTCTCAAATACCAATCCCACTACTTGGTTCATCCAAACAGACCCTAACCTGTTCGGAAAAAAAAAAAACAACACCAACAACACCAACAACACCACCACCACCACCACCACCAACAACAACAACCACAACAACAACAACAACAACCACAACAACAACAACAACAACAACAAACAACAAACAACAAACAGCAAACAGCAAACAGCAAACAACAAACAACAAACAAACAACCAACAAACAACAACCAACAACCAACAACAAACAACAAACAACAAACAACCAACAACCAACAACCAACAACCAACAACAACAACAACAACTACTGCTGCTACTACTACTACTACAACCACTACTACTACTACTACTACTACAAAATAATAAACACATACAAATGACCATAGTATGATCAATTTCCTAGTTGACTATAAGTTTAACATTGTTTAACCATCATGGTTCAACACTTCGTCCATGGATGTCCATGGCCCATCTCCAACTGCGCGGTTCCGGCCGAGAAACTGCGCGTGATCCCCGATGCGCACCACCGTGATGGGCTTCACCGCCAGTTCCGAGGAGAGACTTTGCCTCGGTAGCGTTCGAGGCACGGGGGACGCCAGGAGGACCAGTTTGGGATGAACCAAATTAAGGAGTTCACCAGCAAAGATCGGTTTCAAAGGGTGATTTATGGATGATCTCTGATGGATTTATCGATGATTTATGGCTGACTTATGGTTGATTCATGGTTGATTTATGATTGATGTGTGGCTGACTTATGGTTGTTGTCCGCTGATCAAAGCCTTGAAAGGCCACGGCCAATCCGCCACACAGGCGGCGCCGACTTTTGCCACTTTCGAGGGTCGTCTACAGCTTGGCCACATTCATCATCGCCAGTATATTCCCGAACTTCGCCTTTGCTGCAAACTGTTCCATCAGGGCAGAGGTCGAGCTTCTGCTTCCCCCGTTGCGCTTGCATCCACCCGGGAGGCAACCATGGTGTAGTTGATTTATGGTTGTTTCATGGTTGATGTATGGTTATGGTTGATGCATGGTAAATATGTATGGCAATATATGTGTGAAAATTAGAGGCAAATTCATATGAATTAATCAGCCAACTAGTGCCACCTAACCTCAGCGAAGTTGACTGGGATAAATAATCTTATACAACCGTTGAGTTTAAAAGTTTATGGTGGATGCGGATCTGTAGTTGGATGGGTAAAAGATGGTAAAAGCAAAGCAAAGATGGTCCCAATTTTTATGTCGAAGTGAACAAATACAACAACTATTATGGAAAGAAACGTGTATTATGGATTGATCCATAATAGTTGGACAATTATGGACAATATAACAATCATTGTCATTAATAGCTAGGATTAGGATCCCAGCAACTATTATGGACAATTATGACATTGTTTTTGTTGGGATCGCTAGGGGTAGCACAGAAATCGCAGCCATGGAAAAGCATGATCATTGATTCATGGATGCACTGTCCGCAGTTTAAACATGCTCCATGAAGGCGGTACTGCAAACCAAACCCCCAATTGGATCCAATTGGAGTTTACTAAGTTTACTATTGGATTGATCAAAAATGTTCAATCTTAAGGTGTTTTTTCCGTTTGAGGTTTTCAATCTTGGGATCCAGAAAATACCTCACGATGACATGCCCTGAGCTTCCAACTGCACCACAGCGAACTGGACTTGGGGCCTGGTTGGAAGGGCGGAAGGGGAAATCCTGATCAACGGGGCGGGTAAGAACCATGAAACAAGCTTTCTCACCAACATTCATTGAGATGGAACCCATATTTTCATGGGCCGATGTTATCACTTCACTATGGACACAGCTATGATCTGGGCCCACCATCCCCCACAACGATACGCTCCTCTCAGAGGTGTTCCCGTAATGGGCTGTAGGAATTCCCGCATATCTAGGTAGGCTAATAATTACTGCAACCCCCTATTTCATAAGCAACCAACCATCAACCAAACCATCATGTATCAAATCCCAATTTTGTGTGATGAAAACCCATACGGGTTGACCCCCCCCAGTTATGAGCTAGTTTATAAGATTTTATAAGCTCATCTAACATATAGTTGTAACTACTGCAAACCATAGTTAGCTTAGTTCGAAAGCAACTCAGCTAGGGAATCTAGGGGGCCTCACCTTCTCACATTGTTCGTTTTTTTAGTTATTTACCTACAGTATATCAATATACACATCATATCACATGACCATGAAAAATCATGAAAACTCCCCATGAAATCCCCCGGAATTCCACCAGCCATCCGTAAGAGCGCCTCCCGTGCCCCATGGCTTTCACCGGATGAAAGTTCCGCAGCTGCGCGTCGGACTCCACCGTGGCCTCACAGCAACGGCGTTGAAGGGAAAACCAATGGTATCATGGTGATATGCTATGGTTCTATGAGTTACATGTTATGGTTCTATTGTTATGGTCACTTCTATGTGTCATGTTGTTTTATGGTTATTTTGTGGTTATTTCGCAGTCATGCAGAGTTACACCCCATTGTTCCTGACTGCTTATGCTGACTTTTGTTGATTATTTCATGATACCCTCCGGTAGTTGTAATAATTATGTTGTGATTTTTGGGCATCTGAAAAGCACCAACTGATGCGCCATGCTTTGTATGGTCATCCATGGATTTCCTTCCAAAGGTCAGAGACCTTACATATGGTAGGTACCTCCAATTATTGATTACCATATGTATATATATATATATGACAGAATATACGATTGATACCATGATTATCAATGGTTAACATGTTATAACCAATATTCGCCAGATTGTTAACTATTGACAACCTGTAACAACCAAGAATTAAAGATTAACGATTAACAATCTATAACAAAGCCAGGTAATGTCATCCATGGTGACCTCAGTCCCCTCGGCGCCTTGCTTCCCTGGCATGGAGCGGCAGCTTGGATGGTTCCCAAAGTTCGTGGTTAAGGGTTATATCAAACAAACTTTGGGGATAATAGTTATATGGGTTTGTTAATTAAATCAGTTTGGGTTTGTTGGTGGATATATTAGTTGGTGGTTGGCTTAGGTGGTTATATGGGTTTGTTACAATACCACTGATTGTAATTGGTTGGTTAATACTCACATATACAATATTAAACAAATATGTTTAACAATTATATATTGGTTAATGCTGTAGATATATCAAGTGTGGTTAATGACCCATATTGGATTTAATCCACAATTAATTGGTTGGTTAATACCCATATATTATGCAATTAATCCACAATTTGGTTATATGGGTCATTATGCTACTTGGATCAATACACAACTAGCGGCTAACAAGCTGTTAATGGGTCTGATGACGGCGAAATTTGAACAACTTTGATGAGATGTGCGAATTAATTCAAGAAATTTCTATGCCTTACTGGGCTAAAATGGGTGTATTAATCCCTTCTTCCTATTAATCTATCATCACTAACTCGCTAAATAATAAAAATTACCCCAGAGTCTTCGTTTTGGGAAATTTCAGATTGGTCAAATTGATTGTCAATTGCCCCCTTTAGAACACAATTGAAAAATCATGGTCCAATTTGAAGGTTCTACCCACCTATTTCTTTTTTCTAACTAGTTAGCCCAAGGGTGTTTTTTTAACAAATGTGGTTAATCTTTTAAAATCAATTGTTTTAGTCTTGTTAATTCATCTTAATTCAGGTTTTCAATTCACTATTGGGGGGAAGCTTCGAAATCCAAGTTTGGGAACAATTTTAATTAGATTTTAAAAAGGCAAATGATCGATTTTGAAGCGGACGTGTTTTTTCCCCACCTGCCAGGTGAGGGTTGTTAGATTTTATCAGAGCGCATGCCCGCCGCCTCTTCTTCCTCCTCCTCCTCCTCCTCGACTAGCACCATTCTTTCTGCTTTTTCTACAGTTTCAATACAAAGTTTCATATTCTTCGCAGATTCTGTGAGATAAATTTTATCTCCTTTACTTACTAGATAACTAGCAATATTAACTACTTTGTCATTTACAAGAATATGTTTATGGCTTACCAGCTGCCTAGCGGCAAAAATAGTTGGAGCAAGATTTAGCCTATAAACGACCACATACAACCTTCTCTCCAATAAAGCCCTCCTCCTCGCCTCCGCCTCTTCCACCTCCACTTCCGCCTTGCCAACCTTGCCAACTCGTCGCCAAGCTCTTCGCCAACTTCCCAGCTCAGTGCGCACTGCTGGACCTCAACCTGCGAGCTGCCCAGCTCAGTGTGCACCGCTGGACCTCAACCGGGGAGCTGCCCAGCTCAGTGTGCACCGCTGGACTTCAACCGGGGACCTGCCCAGCTCAGTGTGCACCACTGGACCTCAACCTGGGACCTGCCCAGCTCAGTGTGCACCGCTCGCTGGACCTCAAGGCCAGATAGAATGCCAGAAGATATGCCAGATAGAATTATGCCAGATAGAATGCCAGAAGAGATGCCAGATAGAATGCCAGAAGGTATGCCAGATAGAATGCCCAAAAAAAAATGTCAAATAGAATGCCACAAGATATGCCAAATAGAATCCCAGAAGATTTGCCAGATAATATGCCAGAAGATATGCCAGATAGAATGCCAGAAGATATGCCAGAAGATATGCCAGAACATATGCCAGAAGATATGCCAGATAGAATGCCAGAAGATATGCCAGAAGATATGCCAGAACATATGCCAGATAGAATGCCAGATAGAATGCCAGCAGATATGCCAGAAGATTTGCCAGTAAAAAAATGTATAAATGTCATGGTGGGGATCACACGAAGTAAAGTAATTAGTTCAGGTTTTGGATCTAATGATATATATATATATACACATAATATACAGCTATATAAAAATATTAGGGGACAGCTTGGAACCCTAATACCAAATATCTCCCAATAACAAAAAACTACCCTTAGGTTTTATTATTGAGTGGGGATCTTTACTATTGGGGGGAAGGGACTGTTGACGGGTTTGATAATGTTATCACATGTTATCAAAGGTCATCCAATTTTTGTTTTTAACGTTCTTGGTAACGTACTTCCTATTTTTTCCTGCTAAGACCATTGTGTTAGTTCCTTAAGCCCCTATTGGTCGAGTACCCGTAATCATGGCATGCACTTGGGACAACGCTCCGAAGCCAAGTTTTCCTCGCTCACATCCAGATGCGCCATGGTCGGCCCGTAATCCCTGCCATGGATCTGGCGGCCCTGGCTGGAGGCCTGGTTTTCCTTGCGCCTGGCGAAGAGCCGCACCAGAATCACAGAGCTCTTCTGGAATGGGCACTAGACTTTGGCCTCCCACCTGCTAGCAGAGCAGGGGCTCGAATTCCAGCTCGTGGTGACGGGTCCTTCGAGTTACCATTTTGAAACCCTGAAGGCACCATGCATAGTGCATCCCTAAGTTTTCATCTGTTTTATGATAAATCATCTAAGTATAGAAATATAAACTATCTATTATTCCATGGGAAATTCAGGACTTTAAACATCCCAGAATGGAGGTACTGTACCAATCTGTACCATGTATATAAAGTTAGATTTGGCGGACATTCCCATGAATCGGTACTTGAAACGGCCATCGACTATTTTAGTCCTATTTCTATGTTGATATTCCCATGATATCATTGTTGGTTATAAATCCCATGATATCCACATTATAGTACCATATGCTTGAAATGGCCATGGACTATTGGAGGGCCACCTTTCAGCATCTCTCCATGCTTTTTAGCTGAAGGACCCTCTTGGGTCCACGTAAAGACAAACCTGGCAAAACCAAATGGGAGGTCGAAGGATTAGTCTTGTTCACATGTATAATATATATATATATTTGAAAAATAATGGCGTATAGCTAGTTTATATGTGTCTAAAGGTTGTTTTTGATTTCCATGGTTTGATGGTATTTCTACCCCCATTGAAAATAACAATTTCTGAGTTTCCTCGCTGGTGGTTTTGGCTACTGTGTTGTTTAGACGATGCAAAGGGTTATCAACCTGCCTGGTCTTTTCGAACCATCATTGGAAACCCTGTCAACTAGCATATGTAAACGGATGACATTTCAGGTTGTGAAAACTGCTTGGTTGGTTTGGTTAGTGGGTTGTAACACGTCCAAATACTCAAACATAAGATATTATAACATTTATTCACTACAGCCAACAAAAACTAGCCGGTCAACTATATACATATATGTATGTTGATAAATATATACACCAGCTCACGCACTATGATATATAAACAAATGACTATATATATATGTATATATATATATGTATATATACCCATTGTGACCAACAAAAACACACTCTTTAACATAGCTACGGACCATAGCACATTTATAGATGATTTAGCTATCGAACCCTCTTAAGCATTGTGAATTTTACTATATCAAATAACCAACGTTTATAGTTCAAAAGTAAAACTGTAATATATAGGCATTACTCATTATCATATTATACCAGTGTTATACAATGAATGATTTACCAATTAAATTTCCAGAGGGTAACTCCAGGGCCCCATTTGACCCATTTGTTGTTTGAATTCCCCAGTTCTCAAGACATGCAGTGGCTGACGCGTCGGATACGGGCCCTGGGCGGTGAGCGCATCCAACCGATGATCATTTTGGGACAATGACTGGATGATAGGGGCTACAAACTAACATAGTCTAGCATATGTATATATATATATATAATATATAATATATATATATATATTATATATTATATTTTATATATTATATTTTGTATATATATATATATATATATACATATATATATATATGCTCGGACCATTACGTACAATTACCAGTTTTAAGCGGTAAATTCACCACAAATAGCCCTTTTCATTAAATCTACCGGTGGATAACAGAAAAATCGAAGGACACTTTCTACAAGGAGAAGCCCCCCAGTTATAAGTTGGTTTGTAAACACCATTAAGTATAGGTGGTATTACCCCATCAAACCTTAGTCATGCGCCAGCTTAGCTAGGCTTTCTCACCTTGGGGAGTTGATCTTTTTGGGGGTGTCCTGGAACGTGGGAACGTCCGAGTTTGTGATAATGATTAATCACCACCATTAATCCCATAGACAACTGTAAGAAATGGGACAACATATTTAAAAAAAAAACAAAGCAAAGAGAAAGAGAGAGAGAGAGGGAGGTAGAGATAAAGATACAGATATATGATATAAGATAAAGATATAGATGTGGATGTAGATATAGATGTAGATGTAGATATAGATGTAGATGTAGATATAGATGTAGATGTAGATATAGATATAGATACATCAAGTTCAGGTCTAAAATTGGGTTCGGTGACTTGTAAGGAGCAAGGCCACAACACGGACAATGACTCATCAGTTTCATGATGCTGTTCTTGGTCTTACGTCTACAAAAACTATCAAGAAATCCCAGCTGAAAGCAATGCGCTGAATGTCTCATGTTCTGTTTGCAGTGCCACAATCTGGTCAGCTATACTCCATTTGTTTGCAGGTTAGAGTCTCCGTGTTTCGTTAACCAAATCCTGTTACATCAAATGGAAAGTCATAAAAGCCATGTTCCAAACCACCAACCAGGGTATAGATGGGTTTTCCCATGGGTTTTCCTATGGAATCACCATTTTCCCATGGGTTTTCCCATGACATCCACCATTTTCCCATGGGTTTTCCTATGAAACCCACCATTTTCCCCTGATTATTGTAGCCCTGGGCCCCCGAGCATCGCTACCCGACGTTGCACCCGTGACTCTCGCGCATACTGAGCAGCGGGTCGGACGAGTCGGTCGAGTCGGTCCCAAGGATGGGAGATGAGGCAATGGTCTGCAATGGTGACTAGGTTATCATAGGTTTTCATATATGATATAAGAACCATATCTATTTATATATATATATATAAATTTAGTGTTCATCATGGTAATATCATATATGATGTTATATGAATATATATATATATATATATAGACTAAATTCATGGTTACTAAATTAATGGTTATCATATCATGGTGATATATCAATGGTGACTAGATATGGTTATATGATGTTATATGGTTACTAAATTAATGAACACCATCATTAATCATCATTAACATTCATTGACCATCATCTTACTGGTGCGTTTTACGTAGGGTTGCTGGATGGGTTGCTGGGGGTTGCTGGAGTGATTATTACTAGTGATGAAATGGATCATTCCCGAAAATTCCCTGCGTTTAGCACCAGTAAGTCATGGAGCGAGCTATTCATGGGAAAATGGGAAATGTGTGCAAATTTTATAGGTGGTACAAGGTCCAAGTGATCTTTAATACACCAAATCCTGAAAAACAGTGACGAAGGACATCAATTGAGAACAGGAACACATGACATACAACTTCATCAGTTGTGTTACTGTTTCCATGTGGGTTGTCAACTACCCTCCGGCAATGGAAAATCCACGATTTATAGATAATGTCTTTCCCACCTCCGTTCTTACACGAGATTTTCCAGCCCATAGCCTACAGTTATAGCCCTTTACCAGTTATAAGTAATTACGTCTAACCCCATTTATAAAATGGATAATCCCAAATTTATATCCAGTTACAACTAATAGCCATGGTCATGAGTCATAACTGTAGCCACGCTTGATTTCCCTCAAACACTCAACGGAATCTTTCCCAGCGATGTCATCGCCCTGGGTGTCTCTGGCCATCCCGGCTTCTACAACCTCAGTGCCGTGTACAAGGCGAGGTCCCCTAGATTCTAGACGGTTTATAACTAGACTCCTGTGACGATATGCTTTATGCTAGGTGTATCAGTGTATCTATTGTGGATGGGTCAACAAAAATCAACTTCTAACTGGGTCACCTTTAATGCGGTTGTTGTCCGTGCTTGCTGCTAAACTCCGATTCTTGGCAGGCCCAATGCCCAACATTGGATAAACTGAGGCTCGGATCTGGTTGGTGGTTGACCTACCCCTTTGAAAAATATGACTTTGTCAGTTGGGGTTTCTATTCCCAATATATGGAAAAATAAAAATCATGTTCCAAACCACCAACCAGTGATGGTTTACCAACCATTCATGGCTTTGTCTAACAAATGGTATTCTTAGTGAAGCAATGTCATAAACAAGCCATATAAATTGATGGCCACCCTGAGAATGGTAATCTTGTGCTCGATATCCAGGCGTACATATCATCTTGGTCATCTGCATAGCCCAAAAACGTACCAAGCACCATGAATTTCTGGTGAATTTCCACCAACTCCTCATGTTCTTGGATGGTGTCCCATGTTTATTTCATGAATGTGTATCGGATTAAATCCCAAAGAAAGCCACCCATTCATGCTTGGTTTAATCCTGAGGTCGATGCAGATGACAGCTTCTCTCTGTCTGCAGGCAATCCTCTGTCGACCTTAGGTCCGATAGGCGCAGCTAATGGCTGTCCAAAAATTGGATGAGGACAGGGTTTCGTTTCAAGGCCAAGCTTAGGTGCAATTCTAGATATACATCATTTTAATCATACATAGACAAGAGTGTTTTTCAATGTGCATGCTATCATTATACAGTATACACATTCAAGAGTGGTCGACATATTCCATTGTTTATATATGTTGTATATTCAAATTTGTTCTAATTGTGTCTAACTTCTGAGCTACTCAAACAAGGTGTATCCAGGTTTAAAATGATAAGCCGGGCCACAACCCTTCCCCCCAACGGAAACATACAGATTACCCGTTGTTCACAGGATGGTTGGGTGTCGCTGGATTGGAAAATCCTAGCTCTTCCAGTGTTCAAAACCAACAACTCGAACCATCTGGTTATGACTAACATAGCCATGGACAATCCCCATTTTTAATAGGTAAACCATCTATAAATGGGCAATTTTCCATGGCTATGTTGAATAACCAGAGGGTATTCAACATGACAACACCTGTATAAACATCAACCAGGGGTTTAGCCACATGCGAACAAACGCCGCCTATCAACCATTCACCAAGATTAACCAAACGGCTTCCTTTGGCCCATCGAAAATTAGCGATCTTCCATCATGAATCATAAACCTTATCTTACTGAGTCATGACTGCATCAGTTATCTCATATTGTTGCTTGTAAAGTGAGCGCATACTAGGCTATACGTACATTTATGTAAACATATTGTAAACATATTGTAAACATATATACACACTTATATAAATATAATCATATATATATATATATATTCACACATATTTATATACATAATCATATATCATTATTGTTGTTGTTATTAGTATTTTTTAATTATAATATATCATGTATCATTTTTGAAAAGTTTTTCAACTGCAATGTTTTTCGAATGTTGCACCCGAAGATTCGTGGTCTGCACCTGATCGCCGCCAGAGGCATCCAGCCACCTCCACATATGCATATGGAACACCAACCATTTGCAAATGTCCCTTTGGTTATTTAACGTAGCTATGGGAAATCACCATTTTAATAGCTAAATCATTATAATTCATCTGGAAATGGGCCATTTTCCATAGCTATGTTAAATAACCGGGGTGAAAATTTAAGATTAGGAACGTTCGATTTTCATATCTTGAATGATCTTAAGCACATATTCCATCTATGAAACCATTTTCCATGAAATGGAAACATTGTCCCGTATAGAAACTATGAAACCATAAGTTTGAATAGAGAAATCTTACGATAGTCCTATAGTTGGATCATATGTCCATATCGAAAATATACCCCATGGATCCATCTACTTTCTCAGAAGCTGTGTAGTCACACAGGCTGGGACCCTCCCCAGTGAAATGTTTGTTGGTTTATAATTCCCATTAACTAACCATGATATAACCCCCATTACAAAGATAAAAACATGTGACTTATGTTCACCAACTTAGCTACCACAAATTGGCTATACATCCCATTGAACCACCATTGTTGCTAGAAAAATCATCATTTTCCGATGTTTTTTCCTATTTTCCTATGGTTTTCCTATGGTATGCCCTCGGCCAAGGCACGACTTTCTTAAAGCCCACCAGATCCTCCGCCACCGCAGCTTCCAAGACCTGAATTCGAAAAACATCCGGGACACGTCCCACGGGTCCCGCGGGTAATGGTCATGGTAAAACACTTCTGGTAATTATACTATGATATTAGTGTATTCGGGATAGTTATCCAGATTACTTTAATGGAAATTTTACTTCTGGTATAATAGATTATATAAATGGATTAGCTATACTTAGTGATATTATATGGTAATTATAATGCCCGGTATTTATAATCTATTATTATCTAGTATATACTAGTAATCCATTCTGGAAATATTTAGTTATAATCTATGATGTATGGTATTATAACTATGGATAATTATAAGGGAAAGTATACTATAATATAAATGGACTATAACTAGGGATTCTAACTATAATAGATATAATATAATAGATTATAATTAGGGAAAATTATCAAAATAAATGGATTAATTATAATCTATTATATGGTAATTAAAAGGGAAATTATAATATGATATTATCTATGGAAACTTATAGTTATATAATTATAGAATAGCTAGTTAACTCATATACATATAACTAATAGTAATTTGATAGATTATAATTTATAGATATTACCATTTTGATTGGACACCTAGTACCCAAACTGCAACGCAGGTCTGGATTGAACATGCATTATCCTCTGCTGGTCAAACATGGCAATTGGAAATCCCCCATGTATAACATTATATATAGATCCGGGTAAATGTAAATTATAATATTTCACTAGCATGAATCAAGGCCATTTGAGGATGATTTCCCTTACAAACCATGATTCCAGTGAGGGAGGACAGTGAGGTCGTTATAATTTACCCAGATATAATGGTAGAATTTGTAGATACTTATGTTTTATGCTTTTGTTAATAGTAATATAGATGGATATTAAAAAACATGTGTGTTAGGTATCTAAATCTATGAATATTTTAATGGTTGTTATTAACAAAAACATTTACAGATATTTATGGTGATTTTTGTTGGTCTAGTATGGATATATCTATTTCGTTGAATGGATTTTAGGAGCCAACAAGCATCACCAGGGAATACTGGCGGGGCACTAAACGGAATGTTTATGAATGCTCATGGTTACACAAAACAAAGTCATGGGATTATAAACAAATGTGCCAAGGTCAGCTCAAGTTTCACCAGCTTGGCCCAGACTATTCATCCTGGTTCCTAGCGGTTTCTCTTCCCTTTGTAGTTAGGTGGTATCGTATAGAATGAATGCCCGAGCTATCGGAGTCTTTATCATCTTTGACGCCAATAAACAAATGGTATATATACCATCCGGTAAACTAAAATAGCTACTGAAAATGGTGATTTAAAGTGGATTTACCTACCCATTGAAAATGGTGATTTTCCATAGTTATGTTAGTTGACCAGAGGGTAGATGCAAATATAACTTGTCCCATCTTTGGTTGGGCATTGGCTTCCAAAAAAAAGTAGCCAAAGTCAACACGACACGAGCCAAGCCAGCGAAAAAATCATCCAGTGCCTTTTTCTAGAGTGAAAACACAAAATCACATCAAGGATTCCCCAGCTATAGTAGTTACCCTAAAGTTAACGTTTACAAAACATGTGGTTTATACCACTGGTTTCCCTTGGAACATGATCGACAAATGTCGGCTTTTCCAAATCTGAGCACCCAAACGATCTTCGTGTTTTGATGATCCTCATCGTCTGCTTCCAGACCTAACCTCAAGCCGTGCTGGGGTTGGTCACGACACCGAAGAAAACAAAAGGACTAGAACCCCAACTCGACTATAGGTGATGCAGTTCGGAATCTTGTTGTTTGAAGTAACTATGAAAACGAGCGGTGACCATCTATCTTCAAGATTCCTCGGCATTCTAAGCTAATATAAGATAAAAGTAAATTTTGCAGTCAACAATTCCCGTCGTATTGGTTTTACTGTCGTTAAAAAGCAAGCCAACAGAATATATGTCCAATCCCACTCAAAAACTATAGTGAAACAGTACAATCCTTTTGGAGGTTTAGAACATCGCCCAAAAAAAACACAACAAGTGTAAAACTCTGTTCAGACCTCAAGTTGCAGCGTCTATTGCGCTGACGCTGGCTGCTGGGCTGCCCCAGCATCTTCAAGCCGCGTTTCACCAGGGCATCTTCTTCTGATGCCTGACTCTGGATAAGTTTTTTGCCGGGGATTTCTTGACACGGGACATCCCCAACTCACCATGGTTCCTTCAATATTAAGTTATGGTCTGATGACTTGGATGATTTGGGGTACCCCCCATGACCCAGAAAACATCTATGTGAATCTTGATATTGGAAGTGCATTTCAGCTGGTAGCTGGTTCTTAACTATGGCTACACCGCTATACGCCAGTGAATCATATGTCATGGGTATATGATGGCATATGGAAAGTTCCAGAACATGTTCCAGAGTAACCCAGGCGGCCCGAATGAGCTACAACATGCTACAGCTCCCGAAGAGAAAGCGCCTGATTCCCTCCGGTGTCATCAAACGGGGAAAGCTGGGAAATCCCTTTTAACGAAGAGTTTAAGTTGAAAATGACCTAAAAAATGTGAATGTTCAATTGCAATGTTTGACTGCCAAAGGGCAAGGGATTATTTAACATCAACCCTTTTGGACTTTTGGGGTGCAAAAAAAACGCATGTTCTTGGGGAGGTTGCCTTGGGGCACCCAAACAAATATGAAACTTCCACGATGTGAGTCTCATCCTTTGGAGGCAAGTGAGAAGCCCGATGATCTGAGAGTGGCATATGCCTATAGTTTAGGCCCTTCCTCTAGCAGTAAATAGGATACCTTCTTCAGACGTACGTACCGTACCCTCTTCCACATCTGGCTCCGAGAGGGGTATATTACACCTTTGAAAGAGGTTTATTACACGTTTGAGAGGGGTATATAATAGACAAATGAGAGGGGTATATTATACCTTTGAGAGGGTTATAAAATAGACAGTTGATAGGGGAATATAATAGGGAATTAGAGGGGTATATGACCCTAAAGAGTTACTGTTAGAGGCAATCCCTAACCTATAGTATGCCTATAGTAAAGCAATAGGATCCACCAGCCTCAAACCTACCATTTTTATCCATGTTTATGGATTAAAACAGCATTCATATATATATATATTTATATGTGTGTGTGTTATATATATGTGTGTACAGTATCCTATGTATCTGTATATGAATAATTAGCTGGTTTCTTATCTTACTGGTGCTAAACGTAGGGAATGGGGGAATGGGATGATGGTCAATTGTTATTAACTGTTATTCATTCCCTCATTCTCTGCTAAGCACCGGTAAGTCTTGGATGCATTTGAAAAAAGGAATGTTTTCTGATCCTCTTTGGTGTTTGTTCGAACCATAAGTCATTTCTTGGCAAGCACGTTTGGATTTGTAGCACCTGTCGCTTGAAACCCTCCAATGGAAGTGCGCCCCATTCACAAGATTGCACAGCCTTCGGTAGTTGAATGGGCACCACTATCGGGCTCCGGTTGCATTGATGATGAGCTCGAAACAGAACTGCAATCCTTCAGTGATGTCCTTCCCGCCCCAGTTCTCGCTGCTTCTGCATTGTGATGTTCGATTCATCTGAGTTGAATCCCAAAACATCCCAGACTCAAACCTGATACCTTGGTCATTGCTAGTCAAATCAAGCTGCCGCAGAATAGCGGGATAATGATGACCCCTACGTTTGTTTATCAAACAACGTATCGCAAAGTGTCAGCCCCAAAAAATGGAAGCTGGGTATTCAGACCCTGATTCATGCGGCCTTTTTTCAAGCCTGCCTTTAATGCTGGTCGAGATCCAAATAAATAAATGTCTGGAATTTCTGGAATCATGCAAAAGCATCAAGCTGCAGAAGCATTTGGATTATTGCTTCTAACTAACCACATGGTTCTGCTACTTTAGTGAGCCACAGAAATCGCTTTCCCCCATGCGTTGCTTGAAGGAGGATCGATCGATCAAGGTTTCCAGCTGGTGTCATTCGTAGCCATCCATCGATTTGTCCAGAAATCATCCCATCCCCCGTTCATATGAAACACCCTATAAATGCTCCCAAATAAGTGTAAATCCATGTAAATCCTGTTTTTTTAGGGGAAGGGACAAATGGGTGCCATTACTGGTTGAATCATATGATTGTTGCCATTCCCAATCTTTGAGACTATACACCAACATATCTTTTGGCTGGTCGGATTAGTATCATTACTTGGTTACAACAAATTATATGAACTATATCGCCATGTGATGATAGTGAATTCACCATTTTGGCTGGTTTTTAGCATCCTTCCTGCTAGTTGATCCTTCATTCCATTCATATCCCTTATGTCTATTCTCGTGCTGATCCCAAAAAAACTTGTTGATGGCAACCCTCCGGAGGCTGTGAACCGATATTCCGTGAATGTTCCCATGAATCTTCCACCAAAAACCTTAACTAAACCCAAAAATCAATCACCAAAGAGAATCAAATCACATGAATTCCCATGATTCTCCGAATTTATTGGATGTGTTCAAGCTAAATCCCATCAATTCCCAGCTAAAACACATATTTCCCCTATGGAACATGGCCCATTCTTTTCGATCACTCGCGGGCCCTGGGGCCCCTGACCTCGGCACCCCTTCGGCAGCGGCGCAGGGCGCCAATCTTGGAGTGGCGCAGGCTGCTACCCCCTGTTATTCGCTGGTAAACATACAAAACAACTACGGAAAATTACCATGGAAAATTATGGAAAATGGTGATTTTTCCATATTTTGACAAAATAGGTAAGTCAACTATGTAAATTTCAATATGGAAAATTATGGAACATCACCATTTTTCAATAGGTCAATTCACCATTTTCAATAGGTAAATCGACGAACTCAATGGGCAATGTTCAATCGCAAACTGTTGATTTACCCCAGAGTATGTTTGTTGTTGTTTAATCCCCCAATACCATAGATAGATAGATAGATAGATAGAAAGATAGATTAGATATATAATGATATATAGGTAGATAAATAGAAAAGATAGATTAGATTAGATTAGATTAGATTAGAATAGAATAGAATAGAATTAGAATAGAATTAGAATAGATAGGTAGATTAGAAAGATTAGTTAGATTAGATAGAATAGAATAGAATATAATAAAATAGAATAGAATAGAATAAGAATAGAATAGAATAGAAATAGAATAGAATGGAATAGAATAGGATAGGGTAGGATAGAATAGGATAGATTAGATAGATAGATAGATAGATGGATAGATAGATAGATAGATAGGTAGATAGATAGATAGACAGATAGACAGATAGATAGATAGATAGATAGATTAGATAGATTAGAAAGATTAGGTAGGTAGATAGATAGATAGGTAGGTAGATAGATAGATGGATAGATAGATAGATAGACAGATAGATAGACGGATACATAGATAGAAAGATAGATAGATAGATAGATACATAGATAGATAGATAGATAAATCGATTAGATAGATTAGATAGAATCGAGCAGAACAGAACAGAATAGAATAGAAAAGAATAGAATAGAATTAGAATAAGAATAGAATAGATAGATAGACAGATCGATAGATCGATAGAAAAATAGATTAGATAGATTAGATAGATTAGAATAGAATAGAATAGGATAGAATAGACTAGAATAGAACAGAACAGAACAGAATAGAATAGAAAGATAGGTAGATAGATAGATCGATACATACATAGATAGATAGATAGATTAGATAGATAGATAGACATATAGATAGATAGATAGATAGATAGATAGATAGAAAGATAGATTAGATATATAGATAGGTAGATAGGTAGATAGATAGATAGATAGATAAATAGATTAGGTAGAATAGAATAAAATAGAATAGAATAGAATAGAATACAATAGAATAGAGTAGAATAGAATAGAATAGAATAGAATATCAGAATAGAGTAAAATAGAATAGAATAGAATAGAATTAGTAGAATAGTAGAATAGAATAGAATAGAATAGAATAGACTAGAATAGAAAGAAAGAAAGATAGATAGATAGATAAATAGATTTCTAGATAGATAGATAGATCGATAGATAGATAGATAAATAGATAGATAGATAGATAGGATAGATAGATCGATAGATAGGATAGATAGATCGGTAGATAGGTAGATTAATAATGATAGATAGATAATGATAGGTAAATAATGATAGATAGTTTACCCCCCTTAACTACGCCTACTTGTGTGGCTTATCAACCATTGCTGTAGGAAAAGTAATGAGATATCATTGATATATCATTTTTCAAGGGGATTATCATGGGATATCATGGGATGTTTACCATCAACTGGCGCAGGATTTCTAACATCCACAGTATTATGAGAATATAATATAATATAATAGCATAATAGTTATAATTATAATGGGAATAACTGAATAACTATAATGGTAATAAAATGGGATGTAATCCTTTCTGAACCCCGGTTCATATCAAACAGCCTGAGAAACCATGCTTAGTAGGGGATGCACACTTGTTTCGGACCATAGAATGGTGGTCTTTTTCCTTATTAGGGGGGACGGGGTTACCATGGATTGATGGTGCATTTTGTGGTATATTTCAACCAAATGAGCATGACAATTAACCATCAATAGGGATATAACGGGAATATATCTATATACATATATGCAAGGTATAAAATGGGATAATAACAATCAAGACATGGTTTTGTGGTTCAATGTGGTGCGCATAGTTAGTTAAGTGATTGGCTTACAGTTTGCGATTAATACAACTGTTTTTTCTCATGTATATACAGTATGCACATTGAACTTGATAATGGGGTGTTAAACCGACTTACATACAACCCGGCAAACACCACTTTGTAAGGAGTTGTAACCATCAGAAATCGAATACTATGGGTTACTATGGGTTCATAAGGGTCGATATGGTTCAAAAAATCAAACACATGTGGTTTACTATGGCGATCTATGCTCCAACTGCCTGAAAATCCCAATCGCTGCCCCATTTCACCACTGGATTCCGTATAAACATCAGGAAATGGTCAAACATGCTTTAATGCGGGTAAAACCACGTCATAATCCATCCCCCAGTCATCATCAGTTTTATAGGTGGTATGGAAATCCCATTCCCAGGAAGTCATGGGTGGTAAGTTTATGGCATTGTTTTACCCGCAAAAACAGCATAGTTTACCCGCAAAACACAGGGCATCACCACAGGTAGACGGTCACCATTTCGGTGCTGAACTCCGAGAGGTTTCGGATCTGGTGATTCGGATCACGGCCCGTTCTTGTGTGATTTTTAGGCAGCTTGGTCTTGCTGATGCCTTCCTGAGAAGTAGCCTTTGGTAATTGAACAGTTTGCGAACTGGAAAATCATCATTTAATGGGTAAATCATCTTTAGCTAGGATTTTTTCCATAGCTACGTTGAATTCCCAAAGGGTATTTCCCATCTATATTCCAAGTTGGTTCAATCACTATACTAATCACCGTAAAATCCCATGATCTATGTGATGAGCATGAAAATTTCCATATGATTGAGATATAATGACTTTGATGTACAGTAGATAAAGTTGATGATTGAAGTTGGCGAAGATTATGTAAATGAGATGGTACATGATGAATTTGACGCAAATGCCTTCATGATTGAATTTGATGTAGGTGAGGCAGATGATGTATGTGAGGTAGATGCAGTTGATGTAGGTGATGTAGCCAATGTAAAGAAAGTAGTGTTGGAAACCTGATAGAACCATAAGACTCCTTGTCGCTCAGCTGGCAATCCGCAGGAACCCAGTTGGACGGTGTGCACACTAAGAAAAGCCGCTTTTGCATGGTTTGCGGCTCTGGCCGCATCAAAGCCTCGCCCACCTGGTTTTGCGCCATAATAGTCGAATCAAAAATTTGTACTTCATGGGTTCCAAAGTTGTTTGTCCGGCACCAGTCGAAGTGCAGACACCCTCCGCCTGCGTCCACTGACATAGTCTCCGCCGTGACAAAAATCGAATGCCACTTTCCTGCGAGCTGATGCCCGGAATGAATACCGTGTTGGCAGCCTCCGAAGAAGAAGCCAAACCCTCCTGGTGGTTGCTGAGAATAGCCTCCGCGCCCACCTTGGTCGCATCAGTGAGCAAAATGCCTCCTTTCACCCATGACTCAGGCGCTCCGTTGCTCCGAAGCAAAAGGTCGGTCACATATTGTTCTATGTCTGACTTTCTTGTGCTAGCTTGACTGTTGCACAGCACGGACTGTGGGCATGCAACCCTATTCCTGATAGAAGTCGTATGCGTCAAAGTATAAGCTCCCCGCATCCCCACTATATCGAATTCCTTGGGAGAATTGTTTGGAATCTTCAAAGTCCCAAGCCTCAGTCAGCCTCGACTAATCGGAGCATGGGCTGTCCCTGGGGCATCGGGCATCGGCCATATAGGCGATATACACCTCATCATTGCGGCGTCACGCCATGGTCAAATACCCCCCAGCAACCATGGTGGATGTCAGGGATGAAAAAAAATCGTCATTTTGGGACCATGAAATGGCTGGTTGGTGGTGCAATAACCATCTTGAAAAATATGAAAGTCAATGGGAAGGATTATCCCATATATGAAATGGAAAATAAAAAATGTTTGAAACCACCAACCAAATTGCAGCATTTCCTGTGCAAAGATCCAACAGCATATGGCGCAACCGGACAAAATTGAATTCCATTCCTCTCTGCTGTTCATTGGCTGAATGCACTATGTCATAGCAAACATTGCTGTACTGTAGTGTATCGACCTTGCTTCTAGTGCAACCACTGACAGTGCCTGGCAATCTCTGCTTGGCACATCTGCAATGGCTATCCACACACAAACCAAAAAACCAAAAAACCAAAAAACCAAAAAAACAAAAAACCAAAAAAAACCAAAAAGACAAGACCCAACACTCTGCATCTGACCCCCTCCCCTTGGGGTGTGCAATCTTGGTTTTTTTGTTTTTTTTGGTTTTTTGGTTTTTTGGTTTTTTGGTTTCTTGGTTTTTTGGTTTTTTGGTTTTTTGGTTTTTTGGTTTGTGTGTGGATAGCCCAGACCTTGCCCATGGGTCTGAACTTTTTTTTTTGTGTTCTCGAGGTTTTTGGCCAAACTGCAAAAAACCATGGAAAAACCAAAAAAACAAAAAGTTCAGACCCATGTCCCCTGCCAGGCCTCTCCCAGACCTTGCCCATGGGTCTGAACTTTTTTTTTGTTTTTTCCATTGTTGTTTTGAATGTTTTTCATTTGAAGATGCTTTCATCACAGTACCTCTCAAAAAAATGCGCGTCTCTACAATTTGCACACCTGCGCCCCCCAGGCCAAACTGCAAAAAAAACCATGGAAAAACCAAAATTCATTTAATGACTTACATAATGACTAATATAATGATTAATATAATGATTAATGTAATGACTTATTTTTCATGAATATAATGACTAATATAATGGTTAATATAATGATTAATATAATGATTAATATAATGATTAATAAAATGATAAATAAAATGATCAATATCATGATTAATATAATGATTTATATATTGATTAATTTAATGATTATTAAAATGAAGAATTTAATGATTAAAATCATGATTATTATCATGATTCATATAATGATTATTGTAATGGTTCATAAAATGCCTAATGCAATGACTAATATAATTAATATAATGATTAATATAATGATTCATATAATGATAAATATAGTGATTCATTCCATGATTTATTTAATGAGTTTTATAATGACTAAGATAATGATAAATATAATGATTTTTGTAATGGCTGATATACTTGTTAATTTATCGACTAATTTAATGATTAATATCATGATTCATATAATGATTAATAAAATGATTAATATAATGATTCATTTAATGATAAATATAATTATTCTTTTCATGGTTCATTTAATGACTTTTATAATGGCTAGTATCATGATTATATTTTAAGAATGATTAATATAATGATTACTAGTATGATGAATACAATGATTATAATATCATGAGTAACATACTGACTAATTTAATGAGTTTATATATAATGAGTAATGTAATGATTAATAAAATGATAAATATAATGATTAATATAATGATTAATTTAATGACTAATATAATGATAAATACAATGGCTAATATAATGAATGTTAAAATGATTAGTATAATGATTGATATAATGATTAATGTACTGATTAATATAATGATTAAAATAGTAATTCATATAATGGCTAATATAATGATTAATATAATGATTAATATAATGATTAATAAAATGATAAATAAAATGATCAATATCATGATTAATAAAATGATAAATAAAATGATCAATATCATGATTAATATAATGATTTATATATTGATTAATTATTAAAATGATTTAATGATTATCATGATTTAATGATAATAATGATTAATGTAATGGTTCATATAATGCCTAATGCAATGACTAATATAGTTAATATAATGATTAATATAATGATTGATTCAAATAATGATAAATATAGTGATTCATTTCATGATTTATTGAATGACTTTTGTAATGACTAAGATAATGATTAATATAATGATTTTTGTAAAGGCTGATATACTTGTTAATTTATTGACTAATATAATGATTAATATAATGATATATATATAATGACTAATATAATGATTAATAAAATGATTAAAATAAAGAATTATTTAATGACTGATATAATGATGATTCATTTTATGATTCATTTGATGATTAATATAATCATTCATAGAATGATTCATATAATGATAAAAATAATGATTCATGTAATGACTTATATAATGACTAATATAATGACTAATATAATGATTAATGTAATGACTGCATGGAAAAAAGTGCACTCCCAGAGCGGCCAGCTCTCGAAAAATATGAGTTCGTCAATTGGGATGATTATTCCCAATATATATATATATAATTATATAAAACTATAAAATTATATATATATATATGTGTATATATGTGTGTATATTATATGGAAAAATAAAAATCATGTTCCAAACGACCAATCAGAATTTAATAATCTGGGTACACGTGAACATCCGCAAACCTCAGTTGATCTGACGCCATGAACGATGCTTTTGATGGGACACCTAGTAACCAAACTGCAACGCAGGTCTGGGTTGAACATGCATTATCCTCTGCTGGTCAAACATGGCAATTGGGAATTCCCCATGTATAACATTATATATAGATCCGGGTAAATTATAATATTATAATATTTCACTAACATGAATTAAGGCCAATTTGGGGATTATTTCCCTTACAAACCTGCCATGATTCCAGCGAGGGAGGACAGTGAGGTCGTTATAATTTACCCAGATACATGATTTTCCCATTAAACAACTCCATTGATAGTGGATTTCCAGCTTTTCATTGCCGAGGCTAAAAGATTATGGGTGAAAGGCGCTGAACATTATGGAATAAGCCTTCTGATTTGACCAAACAAACATGGCATACGATTGGGTCGCACAGTTCTGGTTTAAGACAGCCATATTCATCTTCGCAAAAGAATGACACTGGCTTATGTCCTATACACTACCCAGGGGTCCCAAGTCCCAAACAATAAAAAAAACAAAAAAACATCTCCATAGATTCCCTAGTCGTGGTGGATGTTCCATTGCGAAAAGAACCATAAGCCACAAAATACCAACCCAGATTATGTCCGCATACACCATTTGTTTGCCCCAAATCCTCTGGTGAATCATCATGTTCCCTATTAAATGACCATTTTATCAATGGGAATTTCAGGATCCTAAAATGGAGGTACGTTAGTACCATATAAGACCATATGTTGTGGGGATATTCCCTTAGATAGGCCTTACATAGGCCTTATATATATGGTAGGTACCTCCAATTTAGGTTCCTGAAATGGCCATTGATTTTATGGGTAATGTTGTCCAACCAATAGTGATCTCTTGTCAATAGTAGAAACATTTTTCCGCAACTCCAATTTTTCTCCAATACTAAAAGTCAATTAGCTCTATTTACTTTTAGTATTGCCAAAAGAGTCATGTTCAGACCTTGTCCAGAGGGCATGGCCAATAGTGGACCCAACATGGCAATAGTGGAAACTTTTTTCCCAACTCCCATTTTTTCTCCAATACTAAACGTCAATTAGCTCCATTTACTTTTAGTACAAGTATTGCCAAAACAGTCAAGTAAAGCAAATCCTTTTCAAAGCAGCCTTCACTTTTGATTAGCAAAAGCTTAGATTCCAGAAATCTGATCCAATTACCAAACAGCTGATTTCCTTATAAAACCCTTATTTAAAAAAGCAAGAAAACAGGTCCACAAAGGGTACCTCCCTTTGCAAGCCCCAGAAAAGCAATAACAAACCTGCACCAGGCATGGCAATAGTGGAAACTTTTTTCCGCAACTCCAATTTTGTTGTCCTCCTTCTCCTTCTCCTTCTTCTCCTTCTTCTCCTCCTCCTCCTCGTCCTCCTCCTTCGCCTCCATCCCAGCCATAAGGTTCCAAGACTTTACTATTGGAATGCTGACCCCCCCTGGATTTTCCTCCAAAATTATTTTATTTAGGGGGGGTTACTATTGTGCAGCTAACATTATACTGTATACCTCATTTTCAAACAAACCATGACAAACCCATTTGAGTGTTCCAAATGACACTTTTGACTACAGAAGTCCAACATCTTCTACCGCAATTGCGGTCATGCTCAATATCATCGCTTGGATTCAAACCAGTGGCTGTTTCACATTGTTTAATGCTGTTTATCCCGTGGATATCGAACATCAATGACATAAATTTAGTTGCAGTTTGACAAATATGAATCCAAATTGGAAAGGGGAACAAAGGAACCTTGGCTACACCGCTTACAACATTGAAAAACCAAGGTAAGACACTCGGAATCTAGGCCCTCTAGGAATTAACGACTCAAAGATCTCAAAGGCTCTCACTTGCCACTTCTATCCACTTCTCATCTAGAATCTACAAAGCCAAGCCGAAAAAGACCTGGCGATTCGCAGGTCGGACCCGAGGAAATGGTCACGTCGACTGGGACCAAGGCAGCGGAAGCGAGGTGGGACCCTGTGGTCGCAGAAATCTGCGCCGGGACTTTGCCCAGCAGCGCTGCTGGGTAAAAGGCCTGTAATCATCGACAGTTCCTTGGCCTTATCATCAACATAATTCCTTCACAAACATAATAGTTCAGCCTTGTTGATCACATCAACTTGGACTTTGCCCAAGGTGCAATGAAGGAATTGTCTATATTTGTCTTATCGTCTCAAAGAAAATGATGTTGATTTCACAGTCGTCCGACTAGTTGCCTTAGGAAAATCCAGGAGATTCAGCCAAGACCACCTCAAGGTGACCCCCCATGACTGGTACAAGGTATTGCCCCCCAGTTGTAAGTTGGTAAACCTCATGAACTATAGACTATTAGATATGTCTACCATAAACATCTATAAACATCCATCCATTAAAGATACTTAGCCTAAAACTTTAATATATATATATATATAGATAGTTATGAACCAACTTAGCTACCATAAACCAATGGTAAATGCCACTTCTTTTTGCTGAAATTGTCATGTTTTGTAGATTTTAGACGCAACCGCGACTGCCAAGGGACCAGAATCGGTTCGCCCAACAAAGTGACCTCAGAAAGCTTCATCGGTGCAGCATCATTGCGGATGAACCATCCGAAATAGGGATTCAACATGTTTCAGCCAGTTTCAAAATGGTGGTTAGTTCTGATTAGTTGGATTGAATGGAGAAATCAGGCGAAACTATGTGAACATGATCGAACATGTTGGTATATCGTGGACATATACCAAAGATATAAACACGAATTGGGACCATTGGGATTTAGCCTCGGTGTCATCAAACATGGCCCTGAACTAGATGGAAATTGAGAGCTTCACAAAGCATCGAACTGATTTTAAATGGTGGATTTTCAGGAAGCCATCTGACTGATTACCAGAGGGTAACCCCCAAAAAAGATAGAGAACACCATGTCAAAGTAAAAGCCTGATAAACAGCGACAATAGGTTGTTTGCAAGGGCCTGGAACATTGATATTACAAATTTAGACCCTCCTAAAGGGCCCTAAGGGCGGGGTGAAACAAGAATATAGAGAAGTAGGTTTCACTATTCTAGCTGTTTTTTTCATGTTTTTTCGCATCTTGTTGGTGGTCGCTATATACTTGTTGGGCTACCCCAAAATCCGAAAACAGAAATGTCCAGAACAATCATCTCCTATATCATTCTTGCAGATTCCAAAGCCAGTTGTTGGGAAGGTTTGCATGCTGGAATTCAGGCCATCAGAATTCGCCCATATGGGGTTGCCTGAAGATAGGGCATAATTACTCTTAAATCCATTGTCTCAACCACCATGTTTCGATATTAAATTGCCATTTTGGTATATTTTAGTTATATTCCCCATTCCTTATTTACATTACCATTTTGCTGGCACACCGTCATAATTAGTTCATTTTCAGAGGTAAACCCATCCGAAAATCCACAAAGATCCACGGTGGACAAGCGACCAGAGCTTCCCAAAGGTCGATGACTTCGGGCGTTATAAATACAACCTCAGCGCAGAAAGCGTCCCGTGTCCAGCTGAGTTGTTGCCGGGCGAACCACAGAAAATCAATGTGAAAATTGGAGTTTTTATGGGAAAAACACATGGGAAAATGGGAAATGGTATGCCATGGGAATATCATGGGGATGTAAAACAATAATGGTGATGTTTGGGTGAATATCATCTACAAATGAGAGATAATGTGATTCATTATATAGTGATGGGAGAATGGGTATCAATTACCCTCCGGCGTCATCAAGGGCTGGAAAATCCCAAATGAGCATCGAACTAAATGGGTAAGTTTCCGGCAAGCCATGTTTGATTACCAAAGGCTGACCCAGTTGTGTATGTCATATCAAGAGGCAACCACTAAGCACAGCCAGAGATTGGGACGTACCTGATTTGCGCAGCAGTTCACCAAAGAATATGAAAGTCAAATGGACTGATCCTCCACGGTGACAGTTAAAGGACCATTACTGATATTGAGCAGCACAAACAGAGTGGCGTGAAGTCGTGTCTCTTTGGTGAATTGCCATGTGGCAAGGAAATAGCGGTGATTTGAAAACGGAAAATTATATATAAATTGGGAGTGCTCATTGTCCAAAAAACAGGAAACAAACTCTGAGTACCCAAGTAGACAAATAGGGCAGCATTGGCAAAGTATGTCTCGCTGGGGTACTTTTGCGACAATGCCCAAAAACATATAATACGTATTATCTAATATTTATATATCGGATTTCATGGATGTGTAGGCGACAATAGTGGTCAAAAAAGGCTAACGCTAAGGTTGGAAACTCAATGGCATGTTCATTACACAATAAGACAATCTTATTTCCTATAAAGTCCAGTTGATTAAGGCTTGCAACCCCGCCATTTTTTTCAATTAGGTCTCGTGTGCAAAGGAAAAGGGGACATCTTCAAAATAAGCATGAACACTTGTTATAGAAACATGGTATGCAGTATGCATCTTGAACTTGCTCAGTTGCGGCTTGTCGCACATGTACGCAATATCTTGCGCATGCATCTCTCTCTCCATCTGCATCTTGCACATATGCGGATATTATCGGATATTCCTATATCCGCTAGTTACCCTCTGGTAATGACTAACAGCTTGCTATTTTTCACATGGCCCATTGAGTCCGTTGATTTACCTAGCAAACAAATGGTTGTTTTCCAGTTCGCAAATTGTTACCATCCACCAATGGTGGATTGTCCTCATCTATTGGTGAACAACATGTAGGTTAGCATTTGTTGGTGGTTGAAAAGCCAAGGAGTGTAACTATATCTAACTATCATAAGCTTTAGGTACCCTTCACATACAACACTTTTTTTGAAAATCTGAGCGCGTTTTGATGCGCTATAGATATCTCATGATATCTCGAATTTCCCATATGTCCGTTGGAACTACCCTGACAGCCCAAAGCTTCCTCTCATCGGTGCTGAGTTTTCCAAACGATCACTGCCAGCCAAACGTATGCGAAGAACATCAGCACCTTGGGCCGGCGCCAGGGTGTGCCTCGAATTGAGGCAATACAGTATGGCCCCCAATATCCCCCAATTGTTGTGGCCATTTAATTAGAATAATTATGTGGACTGATGATTAACCAAGAAATTTTCAAGGGATAGCCACTTACTGTGGGGGTTAGGGGTGTTGCTCCGTACTTTTCTGGTTTGGGGTGGTTCGGGGCAGACGCGAAAAAGCGAAAAGTCGAAAAGTAGCTGTTGATTCTTAGGGGCGGAGCCCGAAAACCCGAAAAGTAGAGGGCCACGCAATGGGCAAAACATGTGTTGTGAGCTATGTCTGTGAACATCCTTGTAAGCTGTTCCGTAGACAAACTTCTCGCCTAGAAACAGTTGTCTACTCATGAGGTGCTGGAGGACTGCAACGAGCTAGGAGCGAGACAAGAAACAAAAAAGTAGCCAAGCGCCAGCAACGAAGGCAAAGCAGGCCGGAAGAAGTCATGAAATTTCTAGGGTCTAGTTGCCGAACCAGATTGAGCAAATCTATGCACGCGATGGTTCATTTCCAAGGACCTTGAAATTGCTTCCTTTGCTCGAACCAGTTCTTCTCACAGCAAGATCAACCGTGTGCGTTCTCAAATCAGTTCGCACTCAGAAAATGTCGCGGCTTGCATATCCGCAGGAACAGCATGAAAGGCGTTGACCTGCAAACGCGCAAGCAAAAGTGAGTAGTGGAGGCAACTAACCCATCGCAAGAAAGATGCTTATTTAGGAAAACATAAACACAGAGTTCCTGAAGAGTGACTCAGCTGGCCCCACAAAAATTTGAGCTGCTCATCAACTACAGGGTCCTGGCCAAGTTGCAAGAGAATCCCTAGCTTACCAATTTCATTTAGCATTACCATGTAAGCGATGGGAGCTCTTTTCTGGCATCTACAATCATCTACATGAATCTGCCCTTTTATCAAGCATTGAATGTTCGTTTCATGTAATGGTGCCTCGCGCATATGCCACTTGCGGAAGCCGCGGCCAGGCAGCAAGCAAGGATTCCTGGCGTCACCGTGAACAGGCGTTTCTTGTAGCTGGAAGACTCTTAAGCATAGAGCCAAAAAACTGGAAATGAGCCCTGGAAGTTGAACTGATTCAGAAAAGTAATCTTTCTGCGTGCAAACTGTCTGACAATTTTCTGACACCATGCAAAAGATTGGTAAATTAGAATATATGCTCCTACATACACACTACGGGCGTGTTTACGCAGCAATATGGATGCCAAGATTCCAAGAAAACTGTGTAGAATCAGGTGTGAAAGCAGATTTGGAGCCCAGAACCTCCAATGCCACTGGCACCTGTCAGGACTTGCTGGTGGCGGAAAAAACACACGTATTGGAAATCGAACGCCGAGGTTTGAAATAGCTGGCAAAGCAAAATGCGTTGTTTTCTTTTGCTTCTTGCTGTGGCCCCCCGTTGCTGGCAGCAATTCTTCGTTGCTGCTGCACCCCTTTGCCAATTGCAAGGTTTCGTTGGCCCCCTGTGATCAAGATTGGTCCCAAAGTTTGGAAGCAAAAGCTTGGCAATTTACAAGTTTGGCAACGAGATATACTTGTCTTGGACTGCCTGAGGAACCTTCAGTTCTTCAGTCATCCATGCGTCCCCCTCTTTGGTGTACCGCAGGAGCAACGTCTTGTTGTCCTCAGATTTCGTGCCTGCCTTCTTTTCTTCAATGTGAGCCAACAAGGCCGACCAACCCTTTTTGTCACCAAATTGAATCAACACCTCTGTCCCTCCGAACTGTGCCAAGTCGGCATCTCTCCTTCTTTTGCGACCGAACATGCACTGGCGAAAGTTGTACCAAGCTGTCTTCACATTAACAGCAATGGCCACCCCAGTTTCTTTGCTGGCTTTCCAAAGGTCGGTGTCACAGGGAGGGGTGTAGGAGGACAAGCCGGTGAAGAATCTTTTGGCAGCAAAGTCGAGATTACTAAGTGCCAGAATGTTGGCAGGTTTGGAGGCTTCTGTGCTTGCTGCGGCTGCCTTTGCTGACTGTGTGTGAATGGATTGTTCTAAGCCTAGCTGGTTGACACTGAAAAGTTCGCAGCGGGGGAGCGCGGCAAGCGCATCGTGCAAACGCACTGTGTTATCACACGGGATTTCTTCATTCAAGGCATACATCAGCAGCCCGTTCCGGATTGCCAGGTTTGACAAACAAATCGAACCAAACATACGTCCTGCATGTTTGGTGACTGTGCTGGCAGCTGCGCTGTTGCCTGTTGCTTCTAAGCAAGCAGCAGCAGATCCATCTTGTAAACCTGCAAGCACGCACCCTGCAGCCCCAGAAAAGCAGACCTCATCAATTGTCCTGTTTGTTTTCCCTGGGTGTTTCGGTGGTTGCTCGCTTTGTTTGCTTCGCAGGCGCAAGTTTGCAGGGTCTTGGGAAGTTGGCGCGTCCTGTGGCCGGGAAGTTGGTGCGGCTTCTGACCCGGGGGGGGTGCTTTTGTGCTGCAAGCGTAAGATCCAACGCAAACAGCCCGTGACAAGATCTTGTGACTGGGAGCGGGGGACAAGCTTCTCTTCGAAAGCTGTAGCTCGAACCTGGGAACTGTCCAAAGCAAGGACGGCGAAGCGCAAGCGCCCGCAGGACTCAGATTCTCCGAGCTCGCGAAGGTAAGTTCCCTTGGTGGAAGGAAGAAGAACCCAGACATTGGGTGGACAGGAAATGGTGTCAGATTGGGTGGCTTTGCCAAAGCTGTCAGACCCATCCAACAATTCTATGCAGTCTGCCTGCTGCAAGAAGTTGGGCTTCTTTTTGTTGATGAAATGTTCCAGCTCACTCTGAAGGAGCTGCGCCTGCCCATGGTTCTGCCGCAAGACTTTCAAGAGGCCGGAAACTGTCATGTTGCCTTGCGGCACAACATGTGTGGCTGTGCAATTTTCATCTGTCAGGTTCTTAAGCCAGCCACGAACCAGACCGCCTAGGTTGTCCTTGCCTGCGGCCGAATCGGCCAAAATAATGAGGCAGAGCTTACTTCCTGCTAGATTCCACTCGCTCTCAGATTCTTCCATTGCATGTACTTGCAATTTTCCATCTTGCCCTGAAAAGAGGAAGATGGCCTGTCCTTGCAAGCATGCATGGACCAAGTGGCCATCTTTTGGCAATCCTGTGCCCACAGACAACCTTTCACAAGCTGAAGCAAGCTCTGCAGGTGCGAGTGCCTTGAGAGCAGTCTCTCTTTGTGACTGGAGAGGGTTGAGAGTGGCATTATCCTTCAAGAAGCTTGCGTAGACCTCTTGGCAATGCTTGTGAAAAAATTCCTTCAAAGTCTGTGCTGGGGGTTTCTTGTGCAAGTCCCACTCCTGCTCGACAGCTTCGGTGTCATACACCGATCGAGCCCACTTTCTGAAGAATGCTTCTCTTCGCTCAACAGTGCAATTCTTTAGAAAGGCAGCAAGAGTGTCTGTGGTACCGGAAGGAACCTCAGGCAAAAGCTCTTTCACCTTGGCAAGCAACCTGTCCTTCGCACCAGCACCCGGATCAGCAGACCCCGTCACCCGCAGCCGCAAGGCAGCCCATTCCTCAGCCCCAGCCTCTTCAATGTCATCATACACTTGCTCCAACCGTGTTGGGGAGACTTGGCTTGGAGGTGGTGTTGGAGGGGTACCTTCTACCCGTTGAGTTGGTGGCGGGGAGTTGGCTTGGCTTGGGAGGGCTTCGCTTTGGAGGGCTTCGCTCTGGGGGACATCGCTCTGGGAGGCCATGTTTGCGTCGCGCGGATCTATCTGGTTGCAAAACTGTCAGCCACGATCTGGAATGGAGGCCGGCAAATTTCTCACAGCCAAACAAAATTTCAAATTTCTGTCTGCACAAATGAGGAGACCTGCCATGCCTCCTTCAAACATCTGCACACTATAGGTACTTGCAACGCGCATACTATATACTCTCTATCTCTACTATGGCCCACGCCATTGACCGGAAGCAGCGGCCTGCTGTAGTCTGTAGTCATGGCAGCTTGCAGCCGCAACGAAGCGCCCACTCCTGTCCAAAGTGTGCTCTCAAGCATGTCAGGCAAAAAGTTGATTCAGCAAGAGGTTGTCATGCCTGGATCTATGTTGGGTATGCAAGGCTGAGATCAGAGACCTGAGATTCGTAACTCATAAGTAATCGTCATACACCCTAAAAGAATTTGGAGGGCCATTTATTTAGGGATTTTTTTTTTAGTTTAGGGATTTTTTTTTGGATTTCTTCCTGCTTACTCTATTGCCTCCTGCAGTGCTTCTCTGCTTCTTTGCTTCTATTCCTTTTTTTGTTTTTTTTTACTTTTCTTTGCTTTTTTGCTTTTTTGCTTCCCTTGCTTTTCTTTGCTTTTTTGCTTTTTTGCTTTTCTCGCTTTTCTGCTTTTCTTTGCTTTTTTGCTTTTCTTGCTTTTCTTTGCTTTTTTGCTTTTTTGCTTTCCTTGCTTTTCTTTGCTTTTTTGCTTTTCTCGCTTTTCTGCTTTTCTTTGCTTTTTTGCTTTTCTTGCTTTTCTTTGCTTTTTTGCTTTTTTGCTTTTCTTTGCTTTTTTGCTTTTCCATGAGGTGTGGAGCAACATCTTCTATCCATCTATATCCATCTATATCTATCTATATCTATCTATATCTACGTATCTATATCTATCTATGTCTATCTATATCTGTATCTATATCTACATCTATGGCTGTATCTATATATCTATATACCTATATATATATCATATATCTATATAATTATCTATATATCTATATATCTATATATATCTATATATATATATATATATATATCTATATATCTATATATATCTCTATATATCTCTATATATATATCTATATATTTCTATATATCTCTATATATATCTATATCTAGATATCTATATACATATATATCTATCTATCTATATATCTATCTACCTATCTATCTATCTATCTATCTATTATCTATCTATCTATCTATCTATCTATATATCTATCTATATATATATATCTATATATCTATATATCTATATATCTATATCTCTATATATAT